TTCCTCGGCCCTCAGGAGCCCGCTCGGCCTCAGCTCGTCGCCGGCTTCCCCCACCCTGGGACCCTTCATCCTCAGCACTCCCCACCCCCACCACCCCACATGGCTGTGGGCCATTCAGCTTAGGTGGGTCCTTGCCCAGGGCATCCACACCCTTGGGGCCCCTCCCACTCCTCAGCCTGTTCCCCTCCCCCATCCTCCCTGGCCATCCAGCGGCCCTGGGTCAGCCGCCTCCCCTGGGAGGAGCTGAGAAGCCGGGGCTGCGGGCTGGTAGGTAGGTGCTGGGTGGGGCCACCTTGCTCCTGGGGTGCGACTGGCCGGGCAGCCTGCTGGCGCCGGCGCTTAGGTGGACCCCGGCCCAGGATGAGGCCAAGGAGGGCGGCACCTGCCAAGGCCGCAGGCACAGCCGGTCCCCCCGCCCGCAGCGTTCACGGCACAGACGGCTGTGCGGGCATCTCTCCGGGGCTGCGTGGGGCGTCCTTAGTGTTGGGCTCTAGCCTCTGTGGGTCACCTGGTCTGTGCACGCACGGCCTACCCACCGGCTGGACCCCGCCGGCGGCTCCAGGTCTGCGCCCTGGAGGGTCGGCCTCGTGCTCGGGTTTGGAAAAGCCCAGGGGCTTGAAAGGCTCTGCAAACGGGTGTGTTGCTGTCCCTCGTGGGGTGAGAGAGGACAGCGGAGGCTGCGGGAGGCCGGGGTGCTGTCGGTGGAGGGGCTCCGGCATGCAGGCTGGGCTCACACCGGTGTCTCGCTGTCACACCCCCCCGGACCGGGTGTTTGCGGGAGCACACGCTCCGAAGGGTGCTGGCGCGGCCCACGGCTCAGGGCGCAGAGGCCGCTGTGCGGGGCCGGGCTGGGAAGCAGGTGCGGATGGGAGGCTGGTGATCAGGGAGACTGGTAGAAGAACGGGCCCCCGCCAACCCGGCACCTGCTCCACACATGCAGGGAGGACCCGTGTTACTGAGCACACCCGAAGCCCGCGTGTGACGCCAGGCTCCCTAACCTGCCTGGGCCCGAGAGCTGGGCTCTGTGCCTTCCCAAGCTAATGGGAACCTGTCCTCAGGAAGAGAGGGGACACGTCTGGGCCACTGAGTCATCTGGGCATGCGGGTGTGACCTCTGTGATAAGCAAGGTCCCCTTTGACCCAGGTGCCTGGGCAGCCTCCGCTGGTGCTGGGGGGGGGGGGTTGGGGGCACAAGACAATCGCGGGCTGTAGGAGCAAGCTTTTAAGGACACTTCCGTCCATGAGAGGGGCAGAGAGAGGATGTAGGATCACAGGTCACTCAGGTTGCTCTAAGAGAAGAAGACAGGTCCCTCTCCCTTTTGGCAACAGGAGAGTCAAAGTTTTCTTCTCCATTTGCAATAATCCTCACTGTTGGGCGTAGGGTAGCAGCAAAGGAGGGGCACAGCGCTTTCACCCCAGACCTGCACGGGCTGTGCTTAGGTTGGTCCTTTTGCTAAAATGGACGCCAGGGTGTCGGCAGGAGGAAGGAGGGTGGCCCCCGACGGTCCGTGTCCTCACCAGCTCCACTCCTCACAGAGATCCAGAGCTTCTCCAGCGCTGAGAAGGATGGGCGCATAGTCGGGGAGATCGCCTTCCAGCTGGACCGGCGCATCTTGGCCTACGTCTTCCCAGGGGTGACCCGGCTGTACGGTTTCACCGTGTCCAACATCCCTGAGAAGATCAAGCAGGTGGGCCTCTATGCCTTGGGGTCCCCTTCCTGCCCAGATCCCCTGACTTGCTGTGGGGGCCCCTCACTACCCCAGGGTCCCTACCTCCTGCAAGTTGCCCTCCCATCCCAGGGTCCCCTCCCTGCCCTGGGTCCTCCCACTGCCAGGTCCCCTCCCTTGCTGCCCTGGGGGAAGGGTCCCCTGGACGCCTCATCACCGTGGAGCCTGCGCAGCTGAGGGCCTGAGGGCAGCTGAGGGCTGTGGAGGTCCCCGTGGGACAGGGCGTGAGGAGCCCGCAGCTGCTGGGTGGCCCGGGACAGCACCAGCAGAGGCCCCTCGGCGCTGGGGGGGGAGCTCCTCTCCTCCCGACTCTGACCCCGTCTGCCCGGGGGCGCTCCACCGGGCTGGGGGCTGGGCTCTGGGTGCCCGTCCCAGAGCCCGCAGCCCCACACAGGAAGCCTGGTGGCTGTGCCCGCAGACGTCCGTCAAGTCCCTGGATGGGTCAGTGGACGAGAAGAAGCTGCGCGAGCTGACGCACCGCTACCTGACGCTCACGGCGCGCCTGGAGAGGCTGGGCTACAACCGCGACGTGCACCCGGTGTTCAGCGAGTTCCTCATCAACACCTACGGCATCCTCAAGCAGCGGCCCGACCTGCGCGCCGACCCGCTGCACAGCAGCCCGGCCGCGCTGCGCAAGCTGGTCATCGACGTGGTGCCCCCCAAGTTCCTGGGCGACTCGCTGCTGCTGCTGACCTGCCTGTGCGAGCTCTCCAAGCAGGACCACAAGCCGCTCTTCGCCTGGTGAGCCCGCCCCGGCGCCCGCCACACCTTTCCTGCAATAAACGTGTTTGTTCCAAACCCGGGGGCCGCGTGCCTCCTGCGTGTCCCCTCCGGCCGGGGGAAGGGCTGCGTCCGCCGACGGAGCGCCCAGGGCCGCAGGCGCCGTGGCAGGTGCCTCTATCGGCCCCGGGGCCGCATACCCCAGGCGCCCAGCCTGCCCACCGCCCACACCCGCGCGGCACTGTCGCACTTTATTAAAATAATCTGTTTACCTGTGTACCTTTCCCTTTGGCTCTTTGAGGGCAGGGAGAGCACCGCGGGAGGTGACAGCGGGTATTGGTGGAAGGAAGCCTAGCCAGAGCCTCGAGGGGAGGGGTTGTGGCTCAGGCTGGGCTCCCAGACCCTCAAGCCCTTGGACCTCCTAGGGGAGGTTTCTGTCTCCTCCTGCCCGAAGGGAGTCTGTTTATTTGGCAGATGGTCTGATGCCCCCCCCCACCACTGGAGTCATCAGTGGTGACCTCAAGACCTTTCCTGAGGTCTTGAGAACGACTGGTGACCTCTTGGACCCACAGTCAGGCCGAGGGCCTGGCCCTGGCCCCTTCCTGGGCCTTGGCTGTGATTGGAGGGTCTCTGGTCACTTCTCTGCTGTGTATGTGAGGATGAAAGTATTGGGGTGTCTGGACCGACTCCAGCTGGGGCAACCTGTCCCTCGGTCCTCACCGCCTCGTGTGTCCCAGAGGTCCCAGCACCTTAGGATATGCTCTTGTCAGCTTGGCCAGCCAGAGCAGCATGGCTCAGGTGACATGGTGGAGCCTGGATGTCCCAGGTCGAGGCGTTCCCGCAGCCGGTTCCTCCTGAGACCGTCTCCTGGGCGTGTGGATGCTGTCTTTTCCCTGTGTCCTCACATGCTTGTCCCTGAGCCTGTGTCCTGATTTCCTTTCATTATGAGGACACCAGTCGGAGGAGATTAAGGTTACCCTATGACAGACATAATTTTAACTTTATTACCTTTTTAAAGACCCTGTCTCCAAATATAGCTGCATTCTGAGGTGCTGGGGGTCAGGCCTTCAACATATGATTGTGGGGTTGGGCACCACTCAGTCCATAACCGACACCATTCTCCCCTTCCAGCCACCGGATACCAACCCCCAGCTAGGGGACTCTGCTAGGCTGGCGGCCTGTGGGGAGTGCGTAACTTTGGCACCAGGGCTGTCTGTCGGGGAAAGGACAGTGGGCGCTTCTGGGCACCGCTGGGAGGCAGGCTCTCTGTGGTGAGCCTCGGTGTTGCAACCCAGTTTTGGAAGAACACTTTTGTGGGGCCTTTGCTGTCCGCCAGGTCCTGCCGAGGCTCCCCACCCCTCTGTGGGACCGAGAAGTGGAAGAGCTGTCCTGTGTTCTCCCAGGGGAGCCAGCGAGAGAGGACCCGGCTGCCCCCAGCCTTCGAGGGTCTCTGGGCTTGTCTAGCTGCTGCAGTGGTGGCTGCCGGAGGGGCGGGGTCCCAAGACCCACAGAGTTGGGGGTCCCCTGCACCGTGTGGCTGCCCTGCCTGGCCACGGCTGTTTGGGTGCCTGTACGGGGAGGATGACAGATGGGGAAAGGATCTGCCTCCCGGAGGGTCCTGCAGGGTAATGCGTGCCTGAGAGGCGGGACAGCGCTGAACTTGGGTCTGAGGCGTCCATGCCCTGCTGGGGCGGCCATGGGTTAGGAAGCTTTGCAGACCGGGAATGCCCACCCCATTCAAGACAGAGTTGACCCAGCTGGGCTCTCTGGGTGCAGGGCCCTGGGCTGCTGGCTTGGGCACACCAGCCCTTTGGGAGGACCTGTGTCCTCGGGGAAGAGTGGCCAGCGGCTGGGAGACCACTCACCCTGCAGGGCCAGCCACGTGCAGCACAGATTCGACCTCCCCCCACTCTCTTGCCTGACTGAGCCGAGCTGACCTCTGCTGAGAGCCACGTCCACTGGGGGGCCTCACACCTGACTGCTGTCATCTTCCTGCCACCTCTAGCTCACAAGCTGACATGAAGAGATCCAGCGGGTCACTTAGAAGGTCACTGGAGGGTCACTGGAGGGGCACATGGAGGGTCACTGGAAGGTCACTGGAGAGTCATATGGAGGGGCACATGGAGGGTCACTGGAGGGTGACATGGAGGGTTACTTCAGGGTCACTTGGAGGGTCATAGGAACAACCACCAGGAGGCCCTGAGTCAAGCTGGGCTTGGAGCCTGGGCTGACCTGACTTCCACCCCAGGAGGACGTCCCCCGGCCCCCTCCCACCGAGGGTCCTGATCTCCTGTGCTGCTTTCAAGGGAGCCGGCCCAGCCGGGGGGGGGAGGATCCCTCCGCCTCCATGGTCTGGTTCACAGGGGTCTGGCGCCCTCCCTATTCTGCTCGTGTTTGCACGGGGACTGCGGCCGGTCCCTCCTTGCCGTGACTGGTGGTTAATCAGCAGCCCAGCGGGTGGGAGGGCCCCGGAGGGTGGATAAAGGCGCAGGTCAGTGTCCCTCCTCCGCTGCATCCGCCCTGTGAGAGGAGCTCCAGGATCCAGGCCCAGACCATGTCCCAGCTGGTGGAATGTGTCCCCAACTTCTCAGAAGGGAACAATCAGGAGGTGAGTGCAGGGCTCTGCTATTCTCCCCGTTATCTAGGAGGATGCTGAGGCCTATGGAGTTGGTGCAGGCCACTGAGGGCCATGGAGCCCCTGCTCCCGACCACGGGGCTGTCCGGCCACCTCAGAAGGTTCTGGGCCTTTTGTGCCTCTCCCCTAGTGCAGCTGCTTCCACCGGGGCCCGCTTGGGGGGCAGGGCGCTGACCCTCTGTGACTGTGGCCTACAGGTCTCCTTCTTGGAGCGCCAGCAGCCCCTCCGCCTAGCTTCCGATCCCTGCCTCAGTTTCTCCCGGACGGTGCCGCTCCTACCTTTTCTCGAGCACAGCTCAGTGCTGGGCCTCCCTGGGCTTGTGCTCTTGGAGGATTTCTCAGATGCTCAGCACCAGCTCCTTAGGCCCATGTCTGGGCGGAGGTTGGGGGCGGCAGGAGAGGCACGGCCACCCCTGAAGCTCCTGCTCCTTCTTCCAAGTGGGGAAACTGAGGCACCGGGTCGGGCATTCATCCCTAGGTGATTGACACCATCTCCCGCGCCGTGGCGCAGACCCCGGGCTGCGTGCTACTAGACGTGGATGCCGGCCCCTCCACCAACCGCACTGTCTACACGTTCGTGGGGGCGCCTGAGGACGTGGTGGAGGGGGCCCTCAATGCCGCCCGGGCGGCCTTCCGGCTCATTGATATGAGCCAGCACAAAGGTGAGGGGTCCTCCCCACGGGGTGTGGGGCCAGCCCGGCCCGTGAGCCTGCCCTGGGAGGACCCCGGAGACCCTGCCGGTCAGGCGCAGCCCACAGAGCCACGGGGCCAGGCTAAGGTCCGTGGAGCCCCCCTCTGTGTTTCGGGGTGCCCAGGAGCGACTGGCAGTGAGGCCCAGCCATCCTGCACGGGCCTGGGGGGCTGGGGGGTCAGGGAGCAAGACTCGGAGACCGGCCTGTCAGCAGCCACAGAACCAAACACTTCGGCTGCGGCAGGCGGGGTCAAAGGTCGGCGGACAGGCCAAAGGGCAGGGGCTCCGGCCGCTGGGGCGGGGGAGGTCAGGCCCCTGTGGAGGGAGTCCCCGAGGGTCAGAAAGCCCATGTCCGAGCCAGAGCTCACAGGGGTGGAGGAGGGTCAGGGTGTGAGGAGGACGCTCTGGAGGCTGCGGGGGAGGGAGGCTAGGGCGGCGGGAGGCGGTCACACTGGCCTCTCAGCCCGGCCGCGCTGACCAGGGCTGCGTGGCTCTGAGGGGAGACGGGGGTTTCCGCCGAGACCGAAGTGCTTGGCGGCTGCTTGTCCCAGGGCCCTGGGGTCAGTGGGACCAGCCAGCTGTGGGGGTGGATGGCAGGTTGGGGGCAGGGAGGCCGGGGTCCACGAGACCCCCGAGCCCATGTCTGGGCCCCCCAGCCCGCGGCCACCCTTCCCCAGCCCCCATTCTGTGCAGGGGAGCACCCTCGGATGGGCGCCCTGGACGTGTGCCCCTTCGTCCCTGTGAGGGGCGTCAGCATGGACGACTGTGTGCTCTGTGCCCAGGCCTTCGGCCAGCGGCTGGCGGAGGAGCTGGGTGTGCCAGGTGAGAGCCCGAAAGGGAACCCCGCCATGGCAGGGGCTCCCCGTCACCGCCGGCGGTGCCCGTGGGTTCTCTGCAAAGGGCGGGCCTGGTGTGCCGTGCTCCCGGCCGCGGAGGCCCAGCTGCCCCGCGAAGCTGAGTCCCCGCTTCCTAGTGGACGGAGCTCCCTTCGGGGAATTAACCGAATCAGGAAATTATTAACCTGAGACAAACGGAGGCAAGCGGGGGACAAGGTGCGTGCGCAATGCAGGGTCTACATTCGTGGGGCCCGGGCTCGGGCAGACAGGCTGCGTGACGGCAGGGCCCAAACCCCACCCCTGCGGTTACGATGCTGTCACCGTTGTTGGGGGGACACTGAGAGTTTGTGGTGAGTTTTGTTTTCTTCTCTCTGTGTTTCTTAATTTGTGGTCCTATTTATCGTACAATGAAAATACTCTTTAGAAAGAAAGAATAACGTGCTTCCATCCCAAACATCTACTTCTAACTCTTAAAATCTCGGTGATCTCTTTTTTGGGGACATCTGGGCAGAGGAGCAGTGGGGGGGGCCTGCCCTGCCCCTGGGTGGGCAGAGGAGTGTCCAGCCGTGACCACCCACTCCCGTCCCATGAGGTGCAGAGAGATGGGGCCCGAGGGAGGAGGGGAGGGTGGCCCCCCATGCTGGGGCTGGCAGGAGCGGCCTGCCTCGTCTTTCCTCCGGGAGTGGAGGTTCTGGGCAGCCCGCCGGCTGGGACCCTGACTGGTCAGGCCCCCTTGCAGTGTACCTGTACGGGGAGGCGGCGCGGACAGCCAGTCGCCGGACCCTGCCGGCCATCCGGGCTGGGGAGTATGAGGCCCTCCCTGAGAAGGTGCGTGCCTCCTCACCAGGGTGGGCGGGGGGAGGGCTAGACCCGGGAAGGGTGGGTGCCCTCCTCCTCTCCTGACCTGGGCGGGGCGTCCCTCCTGCGCGGGACACCGCAGCCTAGGCCGTCTCCCCACAGCTCAAGCAGGCGGAGTGGGCACCCGACTTCGGCCCCAGCTCTTTCGTCCCCAGCTGGGGGGCCACTGTCACGGGGGCACGGAAGTTCCTCATTGCGTTCAACATCAACCTGCTCAGCACCAAGGAGCAGGCCCACCGCATCGCCCTCAACATTCGGGAGCAGGGCCGTGGGAAGGACAAGGTGAGCAGCCTGCTGTCCCCACGGGGGCGTGGCCCCATCCCCGAGGAAGCCTGAGGGGCTCACAGGACAGAGCCCTGGTGTGGACCTGCTGACCAGCCCAGCCTGAGGCCCGTGACGAGTGGGTGAGGAGGTGGGGCTCTGGCGTTCAACGTCGGGGGACACTTGTGTAAAGGACATGTCCATGGCAGGAGGCAGGGCTGGAACTACTGTTGGAATATTGTGGTATTCCCATTCTAATAGGAAAACGGCTGCTGAGCCTCAGGTGCCCCCAGAAACTCCAGGGCCCCCCAACCTCCGGGGGCCCGGGGCCCTGACCCACCAAGTCTGCAGGTGGCTGTCCCCTAGTTTGAGCACTGATCTTGCAGAAAGTGTGATTTGGACACACAGACCCAGGGACACCTGGTGAAGGAGGTGGAGGGTGACGTCTTGCCTGTCAGCGCCCCCCCTGCCACCCCAGGGACGTGGGTCCTGCCAGACAGCTGAGGCCCCAGGAGCCTGGCTTCCTGGCAGCACGGGCAGCGGTGTGTAAGCGAGACGTACGCGGAGGGAGAACCCCAGTGCCTTCTTGTTGTTCCTGCGGAGTTCCTGGGTGGGAGGTCCCTCCTCAGGTGGGCTGCGCCAGCCCCAGGAATGAGGAATGGAGAGTGGACCCCTGCGCTGAGGGAGGGATGGCAGGGACCGAGCCCAGGAGTTTATGGGAGGGTGGGGGTGGCCCAGGCAGGCTCCCAGTGCATGGTGGGGGCGAGAGGCTGGCCTGCGCCTGTGCGGGGGCCTCAGTTTCCCTGTGGTGGGCGGGTCGCTCCCCAGCTGGCACAGAGGACAACTCTGGAGTGTGAGGAGGGCCCCCAGCCGGCCGGCCGGGCAGCACCGCAGGATCCACGGGCCATGGCGTCTGTGTGGGGACGGACCCGTGCAGCCAGCTTTGCGGGGCAGGGTGCAGGTGGGTTTCCGGGCAGGTGGCATGAGGGGCTGGGCAGGGCCTGAGCTGGGGAAGACTTTTCCTTTGCAGCCAGGACGCCTGAAAAAGGTTCAGGGCATTGGCTGGTACCTGGATGAGAAGAACGTGGCCCAAGTGTCCACAAATCTCTTGGACTTTGAGGTCACAGCACTGCATACCGTCTACGAGGAGACCTGCAGAGAAGCCCAGGTGAGCAGGACATGCGTCCCCTGCTGGCCGTGGGGATCCCTCTGCAGAGAAGCAGAGTGGGTGTCCCCTGCTGGCCATGGGGACCCCTCTCGAGGTGAGCAGGACATGCGTCCCCTGCTGGCTGTGGGGATCCCTCCGCAGGGGAGCAGAGTGGGTGTCCCCTGCCAGCTGGGGTGAAGTCCCTCCAGGTGAGCAGGGCGGGTCCCCAGGACACCCTTCAGGGCATCTCAAGTCCAGCTCCCACGGACATGGATGTCACTGGACCCCTGCAGGAGCTGAGCCTTCCGGTGGTGGGCTCCCAGCTGGTGGGCTTGGTGCCTTTGAAGGCCCTCCTGGATGCTGCCGCCTTCTACTGCGAGAAGGAGAACCTCTTCCTTCTGGAGGAGGAGCACCGCGTCAGGCTGGTGAGCTGGGCTCCTGGTGGGAGGCCAGTGGGGAGACGGGAGCAAGCCCGAGGCTCTAGGAGCTGGCCTGGGGCACCCTGTCTGCCGGCCGGGCCCCACTCCTTCTTCTCCTCTTAGTGTCGGTGCTTAGATGACATCATGCTCTTACCGTATCAGGGGAACAGTGGGAGTTTTCTTTATCATCTAGAAGATGTTCAGTCTTGCAAAAGCTCCTTGGAGGGGATGCATGCCACTTGCCCCCGGACCTTCTGGTGTCTGTGCTGGAGGCGCCCGGTGGCGGCGGGGGATGTGCGTGACTCCGCGGCAGCCCCGTGCCCGTTCTGGGATGCGGCTGTGTGGGTCCATCCGCGGACAGTGACGGGTTATTTAGAAGCTGGTGCCATCGTCTCAACTTTAGCTGGAATTGCTCCCCAACGAGCACCCGATGGATTTCTCTGAAAGTGTTTGGTGCTTGGGTTTGTGTCTCCTGATTCAGCAAACACATCTCTTGTTTCCAGGCCTCTACGCTGTTGGACAAGGCTATTCTCCAGCTTAATAACTTAATATACTTACTCCTGTTTCTGATTTATTGGTTTTAAATTTTTAAAAAAATTTTACCCGAATTTTCAAATATATAATTTGATCTATCAGTTTTTATCGGCGCACTGACAGCCTGCCACGGAAATGGGAAAATAAGCCCACTTAGCCTTGACTTACATATTTCCTTTCTTTTCTATTTCTTGATTTTCTTTTCTTTCTTTCTTTTTTTCTTCTTCTTCTTCTTTTTTTTTTTTTTTTAGCTACAGTAGTTTTTAGTGGGGATTAGCAGCTCTTTTGGTGGTTAAATTTTTTTTTCAATTTTTTTCTTTTGTAGTAAAATACACAATTGGCATCTTAACCATCTTTTAGGTATGCAGTTGTTGATATTAAGTATGTCATAATGTTATGTAGCCATCATAACCCAGGGTGGGTTTTTCTGTGCCTGCAAAAAACTCCATTAGGGCTCTGATAAGGACTGCACTGATTCTGTGCATTGCTTTGGGGAGCCATCTTAAGAGAGGAAGTGTTTCAATCCATGAGCATGGGCTTTCTGTTTATTTACGTTTTCTTTAATTTATTTCGGCAATGTTTTGTAGATTTTATTGTACAAGTCTTTTACCTCCTTGGTTAAGTTAATGAAGGCCCAACTATTTTACTCTTTCCGATGCTACTGTAAATGCAGTGGTTTCTGCAATTCCTTTTTTAGAGAACTCTCCTTAGTGCATGGAAATGCACGGACTTCTGTGTGTTGACTTCATGTCCTGTGTCCTTGCTGAATTCATTTATTAGTTCTAGATGGTTAAATTATGAAGTTTAAATAACATACTTAAATTCTTTTGCTCCTTATGAATGTCAGACAGTGTCTGTTGTCTCCTGGGGAAGACAGACGAGGATATCAGTGCAGTCCTGTGAGAGGTCATCATCTCTGCTCTAGACGTAAATTGTTGTATCACTATTTTCACATGGTCAATTGTACGACATTTACCTTCTGTAAATGTTCCACATGTCTTAAATACCCACAGACATGGTACCTTAGCTCTGTACATAGTGGAGGTCATCTCTGTTCCTACTTGTATGTTGCCTGAACCTCACCGTCAAACAGATTAAAAGAAAAAATTTATTTATTTATTTGACAGAGAGAGAGAGATCACAAGTAGGCAGAGAGGCAGGCAGAGAGAGAGGGGGAAGCAGACTCCCTGCCGAGCAGAGAGCCCGATGTGGGGCTCGATCCCAGGACTCCGGGATCATGACCTGAGCCGAAGGTAGAGGCTTAACTGACTGAGCCCTCCAAGCACTCCTGCAAACACATCTTTACCATCTTCTGGAATCAAATGACCCGTGGGAGGTCTAAGTCTGCCTGGTTATCTCCCCGATCTCCAGGGAGTTGTTTTATTCCCTGATTCCTGAAGAACTCCTTCTTTGTCCTCGAAGTCCAGTAACTTCTTCCCCAACATTCACTGTGGTTTTCTCCAGCCTCGCTTCTAAGCTGCTGATACGGTTCACGGCCAGGTCTGTTCTCCTTCTAGCTGTTACAAAATTTTGTGTGAATTTTGTATGTTGCTGTAATTCCCTGCTCGCAGCAAATGTGTAGGAACAGTACTGGGAGTCCGGAACGGTGCCGGGGTCTGGAACAGTGCCGGGAGCCCCCTCACAAGCTCCCGACTGTCCACTGGCTTGCATTCCCCCCTTTGCTGTCTCATTCTCTCTCTCTGTAACCACACATTTTCATATTTTTTTTTTGGACCACTTCAGAGTAGGTTAAAGACATTGTACTATTTTACCTCCAATTATTCAGGTTTTATTTCTTAAGAACAAGGACATTTCTCTTGCACAACCCCAGTACAATAATCAAAATCAGGAAATTCAGCATCAGTACAGTTCTACCATCTAATCTGCAGACCAGAACCAAATTTTGCCGGTGTCTCCCTCACCCCCATGGAGCTACTTATCCTCTCACCTGGGGTCCAACCCCATGGCAATCCTTCGTTGCGGCGTCTTTTGTTGCCTTTAATTGCGAGCAGCCCCTTCTGTCCTTGCCCTTCAATGACCTTGAAGTAGTTTAAAAGGAAAGGAAGTTGCTTTGCGCAGGTCTGACGACTTCTGGGCTTGTGGGATCCTGGCGGGGGCGGGAGGAGGGTGGGATGTGCTGTCCTCAGAGCCCAGGTCAGGCCCCGATCCTCTCCCTGCTGCCTGGGTCCTAGGTTCAAGATGCTGTTACCCCCTGCAGTTTTTCCTTTTGTAGCGAGTGCTCTGGGGAAGGTACTGGAAGAATATGCAGACGCCCTGTTTCTCTTGAAATTCCAGCCATATGTTTTAGCAGCCAGTAATGGTTTTCTAACTTGACCCTTTTTTTTTTTTTTTAAAGAAAATGCTTTCATTTTCCCCCCTCAGGAAACACAATTTATTCACAAAGTTTAACAAGTAATGTGTACAAGTATTAACCAATGCATGTTTTTATTTGTTACAAATATTTAAAAAATGCCTTGACTAGTTTCAATGCATTGCCTTTACAGATATGTATTTTTAAATAATTCTTTATTTAAATTCAATTTAGTTAACATATATGTATTAATAGTTGCAGGGGTAGAATTTAGTGATTCATCAGTGGCATATAATACCCAGTACTCTTTCCATTACGTGCCCTCCTGAATGCCTGTCCCCCGGTTACCCCATTCCCCTACCCCTCCCCTCCAGCAACCCTCAGTTTGTTTCCTGGAGTCAAGAGTCTCTCACGGTTTGTCTCTCTCTCTAACCAGAGAGGTTCCCTTCCCCTATGTTCATCTGCTTTGTTTCTTAAATCCCACATATGAGTGAGATCACATAATTGTCTTTCTCTGACTGACTTACTTCACTCAGCACAATCCCCCCAGTTCCATCCACGCCGATGCAAAGGGCAGGACGTCTCCCTTTCTGATGGCCGAGTCACATTCCGTTGTGTAGACGAACCCCGTCTTCTCTGTCCGTTCATCTGCCGACGGACATCCGGGCTCTTCCCGCAGTCTGGCTGTTGTGGGCGTCGCTGCTGTGAACACCGGGGGGCAGGTGTCCCTTTGGGTCACTCCATCTGTATCTTTGGGGTAAATACCCAGTAATGCGATTGCTGGGTTGTAGGGTAGCTCCATTTTCAACTTTCTGAGGACCCTCCATGCTGTTTTCCAGAGTGGTTGCTCCAGCTTGCGTTCCCACCAACAGTGTAGGAGGGTTCCCCTTTCTCCACATCCTCGCCAGCATCTGTCATTTCCTGACTTGTTAATTGTAGCCATTCTGACCGGTGCGAGGAGGGATCTCACTCTGGTTTTGATTTGTATTACCCTGATGCCGAGTGATGTGGAGCACTTTTTCATGTCTGTTGGCCATCTGGATGTCTTCTTTGCAGAAATGTCTGCTCATGTCTTCTGCCCATTTCTTGATTGGATTATTTGTTCTTTGGTTGTTGAGTTTGATGAGTTCTTTATAGATTTTGGATACTAGCCCCTTATCTGTTATGTCGTTTGCGAATATCTTCTCCCATTCTGTCAGTTGTCTTTTGGTTTTGTTGACTGTTTCCTTTGCTTTGTGCCAAAGCTCTTGATCTTGAGGAAGTCCCAATAACTCATTTCTGCCCTTGCTTCCCTTGCCTTTGGAGACGTATCTAGAGAGAAGTTGCTGTGGCTGAGGTCACAGAGGTTGCTGCCTGTGTCCTCTTCTCCAATTTGGATGGATTCCTGTCTCACATTTAGGTCTTTCATCCATTTTGGGTCTATTTTTGCGTATGGTGTAAGAAGATGGTCCAAAGCCATTCTTCTGCATGTGGCTGTCCAATTTTCCCAATATCATTTGTTGAAGAGACTCTTTTCCATTGGACATTATTTCCTGCTTTGTCGAAGATGAGTTGACCATAGAGTTGAGGGTCCGTTTCTGGGCTCTCTCTTCCGTTGCATTGATCTATGCATCTGTTTTTGTGCCGGTACCATACTGAAAAAAAAATGCCTTTATCTCCCCCTTATTTATTTGTTACTTTTTAATGTGTTTGATGCTCTCCTGTATTTCTTAACCTGTTGTTTTATATTCTTTCCCTGAAAGTTCTGATGTGTGCAGTCTTTGAAGGTCTGATTTTGCCAATTGCTACGTCTGTTGACTTTCTCACAGTGACTTGCTTCTTTGTGATTTTGTGATTTTCGATTGTGTGTGCATGTTCTTTGCAACTTTATCTGTGGTAATTTTGGACACTTGGATTTAAAGTTTGGATTTGCCTCTGTTAGGTCTCGGGCACCTGATTGCACAGGAGCTCCCAGACTCAGCTTGGAGCTTTGGAACTACACAGGTAGAGAGTTCTGTGTGGACTGTGGCCCACATCCTCTCAGCGTGGCTTGTGGTTAGAATTCCCAGGAAGTGTTTTTCCTGTTTCACCAAAGGGAAGGCAGAAACTGAGATGTCTCCTTCAGTAGTTTTTGTTTTTTTTAAATCCTAGTTCATCCTTGGGGAGGTCACCTTTCAGGAGCCTCCAATCTGGCCTCACTCTTCAGGACTTGAGACCTCCCTGCTCATGAGGGGCTGGCAGAGGCTCTCAGATGTCCCAGGGTGGACCCAGCGTAGGGTGAGCAGGCCTGTCTGGTTCCATTTCGGGTCATTTCTGGCCTTAAATGAGCGCCTTTACTTTCTGCCAACGTAGTGAGACATTTAAATTCATGTTTCAATGTCTGTCTTTTTGAGATCTTCTGGGCCAGGATGGCTTTGCTCTATTGCTTGTTGAAGACCTCCGGTGGGCTCTGGGGAGGTGCTCTTACCCACCTCTGTGTCCTCGGGGAGACCTGCCGGCCACCCCCGCCTCCGGGGACTCTGCTGGCTTGTTTCTGTCAAGGAGCACCTGCCACTTGCCAGTTTTGTGGACAGTGTCAGCCTGCTTGGTGCAGAACGCGCCAGACTGGGCCCCTGGCCCACAGCTCCGTAAAGTGTTTTGAGCATGTTTTGGTGGAAAAAATTCTAATCTCAAATAGAGATTGTTCCAACTTTAGTTTGAATTTAGGTAAAATCCATTTTGCCTCATAGAACAAATCTTACGTTTAGGTCAGTCAGGCAGCTCCTGAGCTTTAAGAGTTGTGAGAACTGACCCCCAAAGCATGAGGAATCTCGTCCAAGGGGGTAGTTTTGTAGGTCCCTTTCAGAGATGGGCTCAGTGTGCAGTGCTGTTTGTTGGACGCCTGTGGCATGGAATGAGGGCACCTCCTCTCCCTGGGTCGGTTTCCCTGTGGGGAAGATGGGGGGGCAGTCTGGGGGCCCCTGCCCTGGGCTGGGGGCTTTCCTGGAAGCCGGCGCTCACAAGCTCCTGGTGGGTGGGCATGTGGCTTGCTGGGCCTGGCTCCCCACACACAGGGGACCAGAGCAGGGACGCCACCATGACTCAGGTGGGACCCCATGGTGCAGTGGCCTGCCTCGGGGCTGGGGAGCTACATGGCTCTTCATCACCAGCCCCTCCTTCCAGGTGGTGAGCCGGCTGGGCCTGGACTCTCTGTCCCCCTTCAACCCTAAGGAGCGGATCATCGAGTGAGCATCTGCCCCCCTCCCCAGAGACCTGCTGCCGCCCTCCCAGAGCCTTCTGTGTGGTCACTTCTTCATCAGCAAACACCAGGGTGTCTGTGCCAGCCACAAGGCTGGGGGCCAGTTGGGGGGACACAGTGAGACATGTATCATCATGGGGCTTCTGCGTGGTCGTGGCCACTTTGCACCCTGGGACCGTGTCCCCTCCCCCGTGTTGGAGAGGGCATGTGTGGGAAGAGGCGTGGGGTCAGGGACCAGGGTCTGAGCCAGCCCTGCCCTCACTGCCTGGCTGTAGTGACCCTGGGCCCTGCCCTCTACTCCCTGTCCCCCGAAGCCCCATCCCCTGGCCCTGCCCCCCGCACCCCCTGAGCCTCGCTGGGCCGGCCTCTCCCCACAGGTACCTGGTCCCCGAGGGTGGGCCTGGGCAGAGCCTGGCAGACAAGCCCCTGCGTGCCTTTGTGCGTGAGGTGGGCGCCCGCTCAGCGGCCCCGGGGGGCGGCTCCGTGGCGGCAGCCTGTGCAGCCATGGTGAGTGTGAGGCGAGCGGCACGGCCGAGGACGGCCCGAGGGCACCTGGCCTGGGGTCCCGAGTCCCACGCAAGGCTCCTCTCCTGCCAGGGCGCCGCGCTGGCCTCCATGGCCGGCCTTATGACCTACGGGCGGCGCCAGTTCGAGCACCTGGACGCGACCGTGCGGCGTCTGATCCCGCCCTTCCACGCGGCCGTGGCCGAGCTGACCGCACTGGTGGACGCCGATGCCCGGGCCTTCCAGGCCTACCTGGTGGGTGCTCGGAGGGACCCCACCAGCCCGCGGGAGCCCGGGGGAGACGGGGTCAGCGGACGGCAGGGGCGTCCCCCGGGGTCACAGAGAGCAGGCGGGGAGGGCGGGCGCTGTGGCAGGCACAGGGGTGTGGGGAGCAGGGAGACTGGAGGGAGTGGACGGCGGGCGGCCGCTCTTGCCCCCCTTCCCTCCCCCTCCACGCCCGGGTGTGGGCCTGCGCTGTCCTCCAGGGCAGCGGCTGGGTGGGGTAGGAGGGAGCGAGGGTCCGCCAGGCTCGGCGCCCCGGCCCCCGCTGCCTCTGAGTCCCGCTGCTGGGCCGGTGGCCAGACCTCATGACCCCGGACGGACTGGCCGCGGAGACCCTAAGGGGAGCGCCAGTGACTGATGGTTTCAGAGGCTGGAGAAGACGTTCCAGCCACCAGACAAAGAGAGGACCACGGAGAGAACTGGGAACTCTCCACGCGACAGGCTGGTCAGGTCGGAACCTGCTCTCCCACCCGAGAGGGAGGCCGCGTGTCCGGCGGTGGGCTACAGGGAGGGGGCGTAGCTCAGAGCCCAGGGCAGGGGACGGGGCACTCTCAGGAGGAGCCGAGACGCGAGTCCAGGACCGAGCCCCGCCGTGCATCTGTGTCTCAGAGCCGTTCCTGGTGGAAGGCTCCGGGAGACATGTGAGCTCAGGGCCACCAGCTGCACCCCAGGCCACAGGCAGAGCTGCCTCGCGGCCAGACTTCACTGAAGGGAAGTCAGGGCTCTGACGACCGCCGGTGACCTCCAGGGCACGCCGTGCACCCCCAAGGGAAGGCTGTATCCAGACGGGAACCATCAGAGTCTTGCCTAAGTTCGTTACCATCTGGAGCTAAAGTTCATGGCCTCTGGGTGGGAGGTAGAGAGACTGATCACCTTTTGTGTTTTTAGACTTAAATTTCATTTATTTGCTATTTAAAGAAGGCAAAACCTTCAGGTGGTTCCAAATTCACAAGGACAGGAGGATAGTGGATGAGAGGTCCCTGGGTCCTGCCTCCTGCCATAACCCTGCATGCCCCAAACAGGCACAGTTTCTAGGGCATGCACCCTGAGATGTTTATTTATATTGACATAGATCCAATTTTCCTTTTTCTCCTCATTTCTTGCACAAATGGCATCACATGCGTTCTTAGGTTGCCTCTTGGCCTTGTCACTTGACGTTCTGTTAGAGATCTTTCTATATCGGTGCTAGACACAACACACACAGATCCACCCCGACTTACAGTGGAGTAGCGGCCGATACACCCTCCATAAGCTGAAAATACTGTAAGTCAGATATGCATTTACTCCACCCAGTCGGAAGCACATCACAGTTTGTCCAGCCTGCCTTCAGCTGCTACGAACACCTCCGTTTGCGACAGCTGGGCACAACCACCTTGCACACGGCCTGTCTTATGAGGGAGTGTTGAAAAGCTTGCGTACTGACCAAACACCACATCCAGAGTGACCCACAGAACAGCAGTGTGACCGTGGGGCTGCCTAGTCTTGGGATAGGACCGCCCATCGCTAGTCTGGGCAAAGACCCACATCCCAAATTCCAAGCACTGGTTCTCCTGAACACATGTCACTTTCACACCACCATGAAGTCAAAAACCCTCTGTCGAACTTGTGTACGTCCGGGACCATGTGTGATGTGTGGACGTCTGGGTCGCAGCACCTGGCCAGCCCCACCAGGGCACACGGGCCTCTTCATCAGCACCGGGGACGCTGCTCTGTGCACGCCTCTGGCGTCTGTCACCGGGTGTGCACCGGGCAGCCTGTGGGGGGTGATTCATAGAATTCCTTCCCGGAACCCCATGCCAGGCATGTGGCAGTCACGCCGCGGTCTGTGTCTTGGTGGCCCTGGTGGCGCTGCTCCCTGAGCGTGGCAGGAGCATCTCTCCTACTTTGCACAGTGGTGCTGGGTGCCTTCCAGAAGAGTAAGGCTCCCTTCCCTCTCAGACCTCCCTTACTGCCAGCGCCACCTGGGACTCGGGCTCCACTCGGGACTCAGGCTGGCTGCTTCCCGCGCTGGTCGTGCCAGCTTCTGACGGAGCAGCCTTGAGCTTTCCGTCCTTGAGCCCGGAGTCTCCCTGCTCCTCCCGGGGCACGTGTCACGGTTTACGGGGCCTCCCCGGCCTGAGCTTACTGAGCGTCTCCCGCAGCGCTTCCCAGACTCCTGTGCTCTGGTGACTGGCGGACGTGGAGGGGGGTCGAGGGGACATGGAAGGCTAACCACCCGAGATTAGAAACGGGGGGAATAAGTAGGAAACACCTGGAGGGAAGTAGAAAAACAGAAATCTAATCAGAAGGCTGGGAGAAAGGAAGGCTGGCCAGCGAAGTTCTTGTTCAGAACGACATGGAGACGCACCGTGGACAGTGACACGTGTGAGGGGACACAGCGCTTTGCCCTTTCCGGGCCAACAAGAAGGTGCAGATCTGGAAAACAACACAGAAGCGTCCTTGTCTTGTGCCAAAGGCAGAAGTGGTTTCCAGAGGGGGGAAAGCAAAGCTTGGGGTAACCTAACAGCAGCTGGACGGCCGTTCTCTGAGGGATGCCACTGTGACTGTGGGAAGGACGGCCTGATGGAAACCAGACCGGCTCCGCGCGTTGGAGACCCCCGAGGCTCGGCTGAGGCAGCCTCACGGGGACAGGACTAACACCCCGCACGGGTGAGGACGGCCTGGAGGGAGGTGTGTGCCGCCCCAGAGGCCCGGGCAGCCCCTGGGAGGCTCGGATGGTTTTGTCCACCAGCAGGAGTCGTTGCGGTGCTGATCAGGGGAGTTCTGGGCCGGGCCGGGGCTCCCTTGCTCTCAGGCATGCTGACATTTAACCAAATCCAGAAAGGACACATCCCCCCGCCCCCACCCTGCCAGGCCCTCGGCCCCTGCAGACGGGCAGGATGGGGCGTCAGAGTGTGAGGGACAGGCCTGGACAGACGCAGGTGCGTGGATGGGGGGCCGTCCCGTGTAGGGGCCCGCGTGACCACTCACAGGAAGAGGGCCTGAGCTGGTTCAGGTGGGAGGGGACAGGGGACACGCGGCTAACCCTGAGACCCCGTGGGGGTGGCATCATCTGATACAAGCAGTGACTGGGGCCTGGTCCTGAGGGCGTCCCCCCCGTTCCTGCAGCCTGGTGGACACCGTGGCCCCTGCAAAGGGCCGCTCAGAGGTGCACCCCCGACCTGCAGAAGTGCTGACCCAGGGGGTTGGGGTGTGGACGCTGCCCGGACTCTCCGTGTGGCTCTGGGCCACAGCCACTGCTCACCCCACGGGTCCTGTGATCTCTCCTGGCAGGAAGCAACAAAGCTGCCCAAGAGCACCCCTGAGGAAAGGGACAGGTGAGTGTTGCGGTGACTATGGGGGAGGCGCCACGCCAGATGGTGGACGCCCAGGGCCTTGACCTTGGAGCCACCTAACCCACCCTGTGGCGGTGTGTTTGTGATGGAAGAATGACGTCCCTGTTGTCCCCCCTGGTTCTGTCTGCTGGGGTGGAGCTGGGGGGCAGTCCACGTGGCCTCTGGGTGTCCTGCACTCTGACCACCAACCCCTTGGATTCAGGCGTGCGGCTGCCCTGCAGGAGGGGCTGAGGAAGGCAGTCGCCGTGCCCCTGGCGCTGGCAGAGACGGTGGCCTCGCTGTGGCCGGCGCTGCAGGAGCTGGCCCTGTGTGGGAACCTGGCCTGCCGGTCGGACCTGCAGGTACGGGGCGAAGGGGAGCAGGGGGAGCAGCGTGGAGGGTCGTGGGACTGGAGCACTTCCCAGGGGGTCTTGGCCAATCTCAGGCAGCAGAGCCCATTTGTTTATCCCATTTGAGGAGTTTCAAGAGTGGGAAGCAAGGGTTTCCGCTGAGCGTGCGGCGTGGCAGAGAGGCAGAACTAAGAAATTAGGTGCCGCCCTCAGGCGTTCCTGGCCACCCCCTCCTCCCGCTCCCTTGTTCTCTCCCATTCCCTCCTTCTCATGGCCCCTTGCCCTTGGGAAAACCCCAAGGCTCACAGATGTGCACATGGCACCCGGGGCACAGCCCGTGTGTCGGGGACATGGAGTGGGCGCTCGGACCCCTCAGCCCGTTCTGAACACTGCAGCTCTGGGGCTTTCCAAGAAGGACACCTGTGCGCAGTGTCTGGTCCTGAGGCTCCAGACAAGGGTCCCCTCCTTCCCTGGGCACAAGTGGCTCCTACCATTCTGGGTTTGTCCCTGGCCCCGTGCTCCCACCGGCTCTCCCCCACCCGTGGCCCGCACATGGGAAGCCGGGAAGTGACCCAGGACCGTGGGCTGTAGCCCAGGCCTGAAGCTGGGAGACCTCACCTCCCTCAGGGCCTCATTTTCTGTGCTCAGAGGAGGAAGTCAGGCTGTGGTTGTCGTCTGTGTCTGGAGGGCTGGGCTGGAACCCGCCATTCTGCACGTCCCTGCCGGGGCCTCCGCTGGCCCTGTGCCTCCTGGGGACCCCCGGGGCACTACTGATGAGGCATGAGGGCCCCAGCCGTGGCCCTGGGGGACAGAGGGGGTGGGGTGAGCCCGGGGCGCGGCCGGCCAGCTCCGTTCCTGGTGCCTGTTGCAGGTGGCGGCCAAGGCCCTGGAGACCGGCATGTTTGGGGCGTATTTCAATGTGCTCATCAACCTGAAGGACGTCACCGACGACGCGTTCAAGGACCAGGTGAGCGGGCGAGGCATGGGGACCGGGCCGCAGTGGGACCCGGGCATTGTCCTCAGGGCTGCGGCTCTGCGGTACGGCTCTGGGGAGCGTGTCCATCTGATGAGACGTTCCTCCGGCCTCCGCGGGGGCTGCTGTCCTCCTGGGCTGCTGGAGGCGGGGGGCCAGCCGTCATCTGCACCTCCACCTTCCCTCCTGGGGGGCTCTGGCTGGGGACCGGGGAGCCCCCATGCCCTCACCGGAGCCACACCCTGGCCTGCCCGAGCCTGTCCACCGTGCTCACCTGCCCAGCAGGGCCCCCCAGGGCTGGGTCCCCCAGCATAGGCCCTGAGCACTGGCAGCACAGGCCCTCCGAGAACAGTGGCCACCCCACAAAATGGCCTTAGCTCCAGCAGCTGTTAGGATTTTGTCATTAATAGCTGTGGAGGTGACTGTGAGGGGTAGGCAAGTCTCCATTTTGAAATGTACAGCTTGGCACCTTGCACACTCACGATGTGTGACCACCACCTCTGTCATGTTCCAGAATATTCTCTTTGCTCCAAAGGAAGCCCCCCACCCATTAGAGGACCCTCGTTCCCCACCCCCAGCCCCAGACACCACTCATCTGTCTCTGGTTTTGTGATAATCTTTAAAAACTCACAGCTCAGAGTGAAGGCCTTTTTGGGACTGAGCTTGGGTCTTAAGGGAAGTCACTGTCCACCAGGAGACCACGTGGGGACTGACTTAACAGATGGGCTGTGTGAACCCAGTCTGGGCTTGAGGCCACAGCCCTGCCCTCTGCAGTGGTGGCTAATGTGGGACGAGTAGGAGGGTGGGGGTCTGGGCCTGGTGGTCCTCCCACCTCAGGACAGAGAGAGGGACCCTCCCGTCCTTGCTGAAAGCCTTGTGAGGAGTTGTGGGGCCCCAGGTCGGGGGCTTGGGGTCACCCCAGAGAGGATAGGCCAGGGGGCATGGCCAGAGGGCACAGGGAGGTGGCAGGGGGCCTGGGCCGGGAGGTAGGTGGTGGGTTGCAGGGCAGACTGACTGAGGCCTGGGTGTGGGCCTGGGCCAGGGGGATGGGCCGAGGGTCAGACTGACACCTGGGCCTGGGGGTGGGGGATGGGCGGAGGGGCACACTGACACCTGGGCCTGTGTCTGTCAGACCCGCCAGCGCATCTCCAGCCTCCTGCAGGAAGCCAAGACCCAGGCAGCGCTGGTGCTGGAGGGCCTGGAGGCCCGGCAGGAGTGACGGCAGGGGGGGAGACTGCGTGGACTCTGCCGCCCTCAGTGCCCCTCCCCCTTCCTGGAAGCCCGCACACATGGTCCCTGTGGGGCCCAGAGTGGGCGGAGGCAGGGGTTGGGTTCCCCTTGGGGTGTCAGGTTCACCCCTCGTCACTTGCTGCTTTTAGTAAAGTCATGACCCACCGGGGCCTATGTGGTATGTTTGGGCTGGAGGAAGGGAAGGGCTGAGCTCAGTGGGCAGGAGCAGGGACCCCAAGATGAGTGAGCATGGCGAGAGGTAGTCAGGCACATGGGGGCGCGGCACGAGGTGACACACTGGCTCCAGGGTCCCACAGACGTGTGTGACATGCTGCTGGAGGCTGAGCCGGGCCCCGTGTCACTGGGAGCGCCCAGGGCTCAGGGCAGGCGCCTGCGGCTTGGTGGCCTTGGGGTCATGCAGGGGACAGCAGCCCCTGCCAGATGGCAGGGCTTCCCCATCCGGTCTCAGGGAGGGGTGAGGCCAGTACTGCCTGAATCGTGGGGGGCTGCGGCCAACGTCTGCTGCTCTGGGGGCACTGGGGATTCCTGGGGAGGGGACGCATTCCCCTGACTGGCTGGGAGGTGACAAAGCATCAGACCTGGGGCTCTCAGGATGAATGGACCCCGGCCACAGGCTTCTCTCACAGCAGAAGTCCAGGGGGCCAAGACCTAGCGACGTGGGTCCTAGGAGGACAGCTCTCCTGTCTCCCAGCCCACAGCCCCTCTGCCTTCTCCTGCACCCCCCACAGGGCCTGGTGGCCCGGGATGGGAGGGGGTGTGCTGGGGAGCCCCTGGCTCCAGATTCAGATGCTGCTGCAAAGCTGACCATGTGGCTGAGAGAGGCCCGGAGGGTCCTGGGTGGGAGCTCCAGGAGGCGGAGGGCAGCAGCGGGTGGGGCATGAGGTTGCTGGGTCTGGCCCCATCGGGGGTGCCCAGGAGGCTGTGTGCAGGTGCCGTGTTCCCCAGGCAATGCCACTCCGGGGGCTCTGAGCCCTGAGTGTGGGTAGGCTCCGCCCCAGGAGGGCCTTGCCACCGCCAGCCGCAGGCTGAAGTTTTCCCGGTTTATAAAGTCTTCCAAAATAGGCAACGTGTCACGTGCTCCCAGACTAGACTCGCCCGGGCTCCATGGGGACGCCTCGCTGCCCCGTCCCTGCCGGGCCCTTCACCCCTCCTGCGACAGCCGCTGTGTTCTTTCGTATGACTCCACGCTCATGCAAGCAAACACAAGCACATGCGAATGCACATCCCTAATTCCTCCCTCACGCGTAACGAGAGCGGGTTCTGGGCTGGGTTTCGATTCTACTTCTCAGGGGCACCTCTCTTACCGGCATTTAGAGAGACTCCTACTCAAAATGGGTTTTATTCACTCATCCTTTTCCCGTATTTTCTTAACCATTTCACTGTGAAATGTAAGAAACATTCAGAAACCATGACCAACAGCTCAATGATTTATGACCACGTCCTGGGTGACCCTCCCCCATCACATAATCCCCCCCAAGTCCCACACCCCTGCTCCGTGGTGACCAGACCCCTGTTTTCCTGTTGGCCCGTCTGGGAGAAGCAAGCATGGCGGTTTGCTGACCTCGGAGTCCTTCTGGTCCAGCGTGTCATTCAAAGTCCTCGTCTCCTTGGCGGTCTGCTTAGATGACCTGTCTGTTTCGGTGAGGGCGGGCGTTAAAGTCACCTACAGTTATAAGATTATCGTCGATGCGTTTCTTTGATTTGGTTATTAATTGGTTGATATAGTTGGCTGCTCCCGTGTTAGGGGCAGAGATATTTACAACGGTTAGATCTTATAGACCCTTGAATTATGATATAGCGTCCTTCCTCATCTCTTATGACAGTTTTGGTTTAAAATCTAATTTATCTGATATAAGGATCACCACCCCAGCTTTCTTTTGAGGTCCATTAACATAGAAAATGATGTTCCACTCCCTCACCTTAAATCTGGAGGTGTCTTTGGGTCCGCAATGAATCTCTTTGGGTCTTGCTTTTTTATTTACTGTGTGCTGGAGAGCCTGGAGGACTCTGTGACTTTTGATTGGGGCATTAGCCCATTACATTCTGGGTAACTATCGAAAGATATGAGTTTAATGTCACTGCGTTGCCTGTAAGGTGACCGTTACTTGTCTCTGTTCCTTTCTGGTCTATGTTACTTTTAGGCTCTCTCTTTGCTTACAGGACCCCTTTCAATATTTCTTGTAGGGCTGCTTTGGTGATTGAAAATTCTTTTAGTTTCTGTTTGTCCCAGAAGCTCTTTATCTCTCCGTCCATTTTCAGTGACAGCCTAGCTGGATAAAGTGTTCTTGGCTGCATGTTTTCCTCATTTAGTGCTCTGAGTATATCATGCCGGTCCTTTCTGGTCGGCCAGGTCGCTGGATAAGTCCGCTGCCGATGTTATGTTTCTAGCCATGTAGGTTAAGGACCTCTTGTCCTAAGCTGTTTTCAAGATTTTCTATTTGTCTCTGAGATTTGCAAGTTTCACTATTATATGTTGGGGGTGTTGACCTATTTTTATTGATTTTGAGGGGGTTCTCTGTGCCTCCTTGACTCGAATGCCTGTCCAGATTAGGGAAGTTCTTCACTATGATTTGTTCAAATAAGCCTTCTGCCCACCCCCCTCTTCCTCTTCTGTGACCCCTATTATTCGAATAGTATTTCACTTTGGGTATCACTGATCTCTCGAATTCTCCCCTTGTGATCCTGTCGTTGTTTATCTGTTTCTCAGCTTCCTTATTCTCCATCATGTGGTCTCTAGGTCACTGACCCTCTCTTACCCCAGCAGTAAGAGCCTCCATTTTGACTGCACCTTAGTAACAGCATTTTAATTTCAGCCTCATTAGATGTTAGTTCTTTTACTTCTCCAGCAATTTCTCTTCTGTGCCTTTCTCAAGCCCAGCTAGTATCTTTGTGATCACCATTGTGAATTCTGACATCTTACTTGTCTCCATGTTGGCCACATCCCTGCCCGTGAGAACTGCCTCCTGCTCCTTCTTTTGGGGTGAGAGTCTCCATCTCATCATTATGTCTAGAAAAGAAAAGATGAAGGAGAGAGAAATGACAAAAATAGCAACAACAGAAAAATACAAACAAAACAAACCAGAAGAAAACAGAAACAAAAGAAGAAAAAATCAAACAAGAAATAAAACAGAACAAAACAGTAAGCTAGATCCTGGGTGTATTTTGGTCTGTTTGTTAAAAGAAACTAGCCTCCAAAAGAGAAAAGAAAAATGTATGTATATACAAAAACAAAATACAATGAAAGGAAACAAAAAATTAAAAACAGTATAAAAATTAAAAAAGAACTGATAAAATAATAACTGAAACAAATAAAACTGGAAGACTCGAGAACGATAAAACCACAAATGCTATATTCGGTTTCCCCAAGAGCAGAACCCGCGGTCTGCATGATGGTGACCTTGTCCGCGGTTCCTGCCGGTCTTCTGGCGGAGGGGCCTGCTGCGCTGGTTCTCAGGTGTCCTCCCTGCGGCGGACTCTGGGGGCTTGGGCTCGGGGAGCGGCTTGCGCTTGCAATAGGTGGTTTGCTCCCGGGGAGCTTCCACCGGCTCTGGAAAGGCTCCTTTCCTGGTTGTAGGACGGCAGCAGGTCCTTCTCCGACCTCCACTGGTCGTGCAGGTGCTCGGAACCATGTGAAAACTGTCTAGCTGGACTCAGGGCACCAGAGGAGATCAGGGTCTCCTACTCCTCCACCGTAACTCCTCCCCCCACAAACATTTTGAAAGCACGTTGGCTTACTCTGGGGCTAGAGGGACTGTCACTGACCCACCAGTGTTCTAAGCGCAAGGCCAGCCAGACAGCGGTGGGTCCCACGGCTGAGGCCGTCCGGCCTTGACACTTGGGGTGGTACGGGGGGCCAGCGCCTGGAGTCACAGCCTGCCTCCGGGACAGCGGGTTGGGTGGGGCACCATGAGCAGTCCCGGGGGCACGTGAGTGGTTGGAATGGCTCCTTGGCGCCTGTGGGGTTCCCTGGTGAGCACAGACACAAGGAGGCTGAGAGCAGGTGGCAGTTGAAAGCCTTTATTGTACTGGGGCGTGTGCAGACAGGAACGTGCAGGGCCTGCCGTCACAGCTCGGTCTGGGCAGGGGACCTCCAAAGGCCAGGCAGAGACCTGGGAGCAAGCCCAGCAGAACCGGTGGGGCCCACAGAGAGCCTCTAGAGGGCACCGGAGGGGCTGAGGAGTCCGGGGATGAGGCTGGACTGAGGAAGGCCAGGAGCCACCAGCTGCCTGTGAGGGTCTGGAGCACTGGCCACCACAGCGCCCCTGCAAAGCCTCTGGGGTCCAGGGAGGGCGTGGAGGGGAGGGTGCGGACAGACGGACAGGAGCGTAGGGAGGCGGGACTCTCTGGAGAAGCTGGGGATGGGTGGGGCGGGTCCTCTTTTCCTGACTTCACACCCGCAACTGGAGATGGAGTCTGCAGCCCGCGGGACCTCTGGGTGAGTCTGAGTAGCACCATGGGTAGGAAGACGGTCCCCGCGGGGCTGGGGAACCCGGGGCGCAGGCATGGCCGGGGGCTGGGAGTGAGAGATGGGGGCTGGAAGCCCGGGTCGCCTGGCAGGAGGGAGGGGCGGGCCGGGGCGGGGCGGGGCGGGCGGCGGGGGCAGGGGCCGAGGGGCAGGAGGGAGGAGGCGCTAACAGATCCAGCGGATGAACCGGTCGAAGAAGCCGGGCTGAGCCAGGCTGTCGTAGTCCTTCTCGCGGAAGACGGCGGTCGCGTCGCCCAGGCTGATCTTGGACAGCACGTCCCTGTCCACGTCGCCGCCCACGGCCACCACGGTGGGCACCACGTTCTGCTTGCGCATGGAGTGCACGGCCTCCTCCAGGCTGTCGTTGCCCGTGACGCCGTCGGTGAGGAACACGAAGGCCAGCTCGGCGTGACGGCGAGCCCCTGCCCGCGCGCCGCGCACCACGTGGTTGATGGCGTGCACGATGCCCGCGCCCACGTGCGAGAAGGAGTTGAGGTAGCGCGCGCCTTCCAGCGCCTGGTGGATGGCCGTCAGGTTGGAGGTGAGCGGGAACTCCACCTGCTGCTCGCCCGGGCCCCCGAACTGCAGCAGGGCCACGCGCGCGTTGTGTGGGTCGTCGTCCCTGCGCGCCAGCGTCAGCCGCCGGGACACTTCCTCCACGAAGCGCCGCGCCTTGTGGAAGTTCTGCTCGCCCAGCCGCTCCGAGCCGTCCAGCAGGAAGACGATGTCCACTGGCCGCTGCGTGCACTGGGCCACGTACAGCTCTGGGGGCAAAACGGGGCGGTGGGCGGGCGACCCGGGTGAGGCCCCACAGGCCGGGCCCTGTCCCTGCCGCCCCTTCCTGGCCACTCCAGGCCCTGGCACCGTCAGGTACCCCTGGCCGTGCCCTGTGCCCATCCCTGTGCACACCCCTCCCACTGGAGCCGTTAGAACCCCCCGGGGTTGTGGGGTTGCATCCAAGGCTCCCACCATCGGGACCCCGCACCACAGTGGGCCAGGGGTGGCCCCAGCTCCTGGGAACCTGTCACCGTCTCTGCTGGTTTTGCTGTCATCAGGGCACGCCCCAAACCTGAAGGCTGAGTGGCTTATTTCCACCCTCCAAGCACCTTCTCTGCCCAGTCACCTCCTCCAGGCCCGTCTGGGCAGGAAGGAGACCCCAAAAGGGCCACAGTCCACAGTAGGGGTGGGACGGAGGATCGGGGAAGCTGTCTTTGCATTTGTAATCCACTAAAAAGATCTCATAAGATCTCCAGTCCTGAAGCCCCCAGGATGTGAGGACCCACATTTGGCCATGACCCCCTTCCTCCCTGTGGTCTCAGAGCTGCGTGACACTGGCTGGGCCGCGTCTGTCCCAGCTTTGGGAGCAGCGGGGAATGGAGCCTGTGTCCCCCGTGACTGGACATCTCCGGTGGGCGGTGAGCACGGGCGTGGCCCGACCCCGGCAGCAGCTCCCGTGACTCACTGTTAGCTGAGGAGAGCCCTGCTCCCACCTGGGAGGTCACCTGCCCTGGACTGCCCCGCAGTGCTGGGGGCAAGGCGTCTGGGGGACGTGGGTGCTCCAGCACAGCCTGGAAACCCACTCCTCACATACGTGGGCTGTGGTCCACCCTCTGCAGAATGAAGCCCGGCCCCTCCACCGTGGCCTTGCTGGAGACCACTCCTCCAACCGCGGCTTGGGCTGGGGGAGGACGGAGCTGGCCATCCTGCTGGTGTCCAGCTTCTCAGCCCTGCGGGCCCCAATCTGGGATATGGGGCCCAGTTGGCTGACCCCTAGGGCCAGGAGGGTGTGGACCCCATCAAGGAGGAGGTCCTGACTCCCAGCACCGACTAGCAGGGCCTCAGCCCAGGCCCCAGCCACAGCATGTCACCCCAGCATGCCACGGGACCACAGCAATGCTTTCACACTTTTCCAGCTTTTATAGCATGTATAGGATGTCACAGCATCTGAGGGTGGCCAGGCCACTGGTGGGCGGAGCCACATTTCCGGCAGGCAGGATTTTTTTTAAAGAAGCTTATATTAATGATGTAGCTTATCTTGTCGGCCGAGCAGATGAAAAGCAGCTTCTGCTTTAAATCCACGTCTAGCAAGCCAGCTGGGTGCCCCCGCACTCCCAAGTCACCACCAGCAAAGACACACGTGGGGGGCGCCGGCCTCGGGCTGATTTCTTCAATGCAAAACTAGGGAGGCCGAGAAAAACACACGAGGTGGTGGCGGCAGGCACAGGGGCTGCAGGGGAAGCCAGGAGTTCGGGGATTGTGAGGCTCTGCTCGTCTCTCTTGTGTTTTGGCTAAATAATGGCCTCCCCAAAGATGCCCGTATCCTAAACCTCGAGACTGAATATGACCTTACAGGGCAAAGAAAGATGCGGAGAGAACTAAATTACGAGCCTGAGACTACTCTGGATTCTCCAGTGCGCCCCAAGCACCACCAGAAGGTCCTTATAAGGGGGTGGAGGGTCAGGCTCCAAGGAGGGACTACGTGACACCAGCGGCAGAGACAGGAGTTGGAGGAGGCAGGAAGTCCTCCCCAGAGCCCCTGGAGAGAGTGTGACTCCACCACCCCCGGACCTTGGACTTTCGGCCCCAGACTGAGAGACGATAGACTTCTGTTGTTTCAAGCCCCTTCGTGTGCGGTCGGCCGCCCCAGGTCGCTAAGAGGCTGGGTGGGGTAGCTCGGGTCAGTCCTGCCCGCGGGCAGCCTCCGCAGCTTCAGCAGAGTGCCAGCGCCGTCTCGGGGTCCCCCACGATGTCCCTGTGCACCAGCTTAAATGTGTCAATGAACAGTTCCATCCAGTCCTGCCGCTCGCTTCCTGTGGCGAACTTGGCTCGCTCGGCGGTGTAGACCAGCACGGCCACCAGCCTGGAGTAGGCGGCCGGGTCCTGCGTGAACTCCGTGGCGTTTAGCAACTGTTGGATCAGGGGGATGGTCCTGGGGAAGGAGGCATCGGGGCCCTCTTCCGTGCGGAGGAAGGTGACCGGGGGCTCGCTGCCAGGCCGCGGTCCATCTGCAGGGGCATCCAGAGAAGGCTTTAAGGGACTAAGCTGGCATGAGTGGGCCTCCCGCCGCCCTCCTGGGCTGAGCGAACTGAGAGCCGAGGCACCTCTCTCTTCCAGGATGACTTAGGACCACAGCGAGGACAGCTGTTGGGCTCAGCAGGGGTGGGGTGGGGGGAGCTGCGGCACCCCTGTCAGCGTGCGGGGCCAGAGCTCACAGCAGGGGTGGGAGCCAGCAGCACCTTTGGCGTCCCCACAAGACTCCTGGCACACATGGTGGCACTGAGACTTGACTGGTCTCGGGTTCGGCTTCTGGCAGCTCAAGGCTCTGCCCCCGGGGGACCCCAGCCCCCTCACGACCCCTGACCCGGACAACCTGGCTTGTTTCAGCCCCAACCCTGTGACGCGGGCAGGGGGTCCCTGGGCCCCTCCCAGAACAGTTTCTAGAAAGCTTACAATGATCAGTCCTCCTCTGCCCTTTGAGACACCCTCCGCTCCCCGCCCAGAACTGGCCCCTCGAGGACCCGGGAGCGACTGTGCCTCCCACCCTCGGGGCTCCGGCGCTCTCTTCCGGCCCCCCTGGGAACGCAGGCCGGACCCCGCGGGCACCTTGCTCCCAGTGCACCCCGGCCTCTGCCCTGGGGGCCCAGAGCTTGCTTTCTCCTCTGGGGGGTGGCAGGTAGCCAAGCCAGGTGGCCTGGTGGCACGGACCCCCCGCCCCGGCCCACATGCCGCCGTCTGTGCCTCTCCTCTGCACGCCCGCCCCGGAGAGTCTCTGCCTCTGTTCCAGGGAGGCGGGGCTCGGGTCACGCTGGGGCTCCCCCTCCTGTGGCAGCTCTCCAGGACCAGCCTTCACCGCCTCAGCTGCCGGCCAGCTCCGCGGCTCCCTGAAACTATCATGGCTCTGACCCAATCAAGCAAGCTGCCCCCTGGCCGGATCCAAGCCTAGGGTTGGCTGGGCCTCTGGGTAGACAGGGCCGTGTGGCCCAGAAGGTCAGGGTCATGCCCAGCCAGCGGCGCCCATCCAGCCCAGTTTGTGGTCTCGAAATGTGGAGCAGCACACCCAGCCCCTGACGGGCCCGGTTTGCGGGATCTCGTTCCCCAGCGACCTCTGCTTTTTTCCTCTCTGGTCACAACGTCTAAGAAACCTGGAAATTCTTGTCACTGTAAAGGATAAACTTGTGAGTTTGGCAGAGAAGATAACTGGGAGAAGGTGGATAAGGGCCTCCTGGGAGGCCACTCCCTTTCACTATTGGGTCTTGGAGGCTCAGGAGAAGCAAGGTCGCATGCCAGCGCCCAGCGTCAGACTAACAGCCAAACCCCACGGAGACATCACAGGAAAGGGAGCTGCGGCCAGACCCCTCTCAGGAGCACAGACACGGAAGTCCTCAGCAGAATACGAGCAAATCAAGCCTAACCACACACAGAACGACTTACACACCGCAAGCAAGTAGGATTTATCCTGGGTGGGCAAGGTCGGCTCAGCCTCCGGAAACCAACGTCCTCCATTGCATCAACACGGCAAAGAGGAAAACCACAGTGTCCTAACCCAAACCGCAGAGGCAGCCTGTGGCCGAGCCCACACTCACTCAGGATGAGTCCTCCGTAACTAGGAAGAGGGGGACTAGCAACTTGACAAGGCTTGTCGGTGGAAAACCTTGGCTGACGTCGAGCTCAGGGGTCAGGAACTGGAAGCTTCCCTGCTGAGATTGGGCCAAGGACACTGGGCCCCTCCTGGGTCCTGGACGCCAGGGGTCAGGGTCTGGAGTCTGTTCACGGGGGGCCAACCTGACTGTGGGACCCACCGTGGGATGACCGGGGGGCCCTGTGGGGCAGGTGTATGGCTGCTCGGTGTGGCCTCCAGCAGAGACCCCCCGGCCCAGCTCTCAGGCTGGCAGCTGGGGTTTGGGCAGCTCTGCGCACTGCAGCCAGCCATCCCCGGAGGACTTGAGGGGCCCGAGGCCCAGGCAGCACTGACTGAAGCAGAGCTCACAGCAGCCATGGTGTGGGACCACCGCGATGACCATTTTCTGGGAAACTCTCTGTCAGGACAAGTGTGGGGACCCCTGCCCCCAACTCAACACAGTTCTTCCCTCAAGCTGCCTCTACTCTTTTGCACCTGCCCAGGGGGCCCACCAGATGCCCCGTGAGGAGCCAGCACGCAGGCCCCGGAAATGTCCGCTCTGCCTGGCAGGCGACGGTGTGGGCATGGTGTGGGCACGGGCCTCGCGGTTCTTGTCTGTGTTCCCCGCTGGGTCGGCCGGCACAGCCTGGCCTGCCCGCTACGGAGGCCCACGCCACACCAGCTCCTGGGAGGACCCAGGCCTGGTGCCCACATCCCAGCCAGAGGGCCCGGTGCTGGTCCCGGGACCCCGGCAGGCGGGGCGGGGTCACCGAGGGGAGACCTCAGCTCCTGGCTCACACCGGCAGCTCCACGGGCCCAGTGGCCCCAGTCCCTGTGCCACAAAGCCTTGGGGGCGGCGGCTCGGGGCCCACAGAGCATCCTACCCCCTTCCCTGGCCCACAGTACCCTGGGACAGCTTCTGCGTGTCCCCAGCAGCCTTAAGCCCAGAAGCAGCCGTGTTGAGCAAGGGGCCCAGGCCCCCGACACACGCCAGGGTCTGCTTCAGAGACCGCAGCTCAGGACTGCAGAGGCTGGAAGCAAGAGCGTCCGCGAGTGGCCACGTGAGGCTACGCTCCCTCCCTCCACGGCTGTTCACCAGCCACCTGGTGCACCATGTCCCAGGCTCCCGCCGGCGGCAGTTGAGATGGTTCTGGGGTGTCTGTCCCTCCCGGGCGGTGGTCAGGGACACCACAAGGCCAGGCACGCGGACGGGAGCGCACCCGCCCAGAGTGCACTGGGCTCGGAGGGGCTGGGGGGCTCAGAACGGCCAACCTCGCTCCCAGCCCCTCCGCAGACGTGCCAGGGTCCTGGGGCTGAGTCACCCATCTAAAGTTTTCTTGCTGGGGGGGGGGTCCCGCAGCGGCCCCTCCTCTCCAGCCCCGGCCGCTTGAGTCTGGGGTGGGGGGCTTGGCACCGTCCGAGTTACCTGTTTGGCAGGGAAGGTCTGGGCACACGATCTGAGGGTCTAGGAGCAAGGAGAGAGGCCGGGGGGTACCAGTCAGTGTCCGCTGGCCAGACCAGGGGCTGAATGCCCTCAGCGACCCCCCTGCCCCTTCTGCCCTCCTCAGGTCCTCCTTCCCCAGTGCAGACTGGGCTGCACAGGCCGCCACTCACCTGGGCACAAGACGTCCTCCATGTCGTCGATGAACTTCTCGGCCACCAGGTCAGAGAAGAGGCTCATGTTCCGCACCTGCTGGGGCTTGTCGCAGGCGATGGAGTACAGGTTCTCGCTCTCGTGCGTCTCGTGGAACATGTCGCCGATGCCGATGGCTGTCACCGTGACGTCGTGGTTGCACAGGGCCCGCAGGTTGAGGTCATCGTCCCGGGGGTCGTGGCGGCCATCCGTAATGACCACTGCAAACACCCGGGTCTTCTGGCGCCGGCTCTCTTTGATGAGCTGGTTGTAGGCGAACTTGAGGGCTGAGGGCGTCCAGGTGCCACCGGCGATCCACTCCAGGTTCTTGACGGCCTCCTTGAAGCTGGACAGTGAGTTGATGCGCTCGTCGTCCAGCTGGATGGCCTCAAAGGTGCCCTCGTGGCTGTACTGTACCACGCCCACGCGGGTTCCTGCGGCCGAGGGCAGGGCATGAGGGTGCGGCTGCGGCCCCCGCGACCCCAGCCCCCAGCACGCCGGCCCCCACCCCTGCACCCCTAACCCCCACTCCCCCGAACGCCGCCCCCCCCACCGCCGCACCCCCGTGGCTCTGAGCAAAGCTGACACCTGTCCGCCCGCCGGCCCCCTCCCATGCGCGGACCTCCCGCCCCCCGCCCCGCCCACCACAGGCACAGCTGACCCGTCTCTGACTTGGGGTCCTTGGCAATGGCCCCCAGCCTGTTGACCACGTTGATGACGAAGTTCTTCTCTAGAGTGAAGTTGGTGTAGCCGATGCTCTCGGAGCTGTCGATGACGAACACCACGTCCAGGGCCCCGCACCGCTTCTCGCAGTCTGCGGGCCGGGTGCAGGGTCAGGGTGAGGGGCAGACGGCAGTGTGCGCGGACCCCCGTCCTGGGGACACTTGCCCGGGTGCACGAGCGGGAGGGCGTGACACAGAGGGAGGACCCGACCCCTGGACGAGAGCCCCCAAGGACATGAGGCTCCAGCTTTGCCGCCATGTGGGGCTGAGACTCACCGCAGCAGCCGCACGTCTCCCTCACGTAGGTCATGACGTCGCACTCCTGCAACACGGGGGCGTCAGTCCCGGGCCAGGAAAGCGAGCCCCCGGACGGGCGGAGAGGGGCTTCCAGGAAGTCTGCGCGCTCCTGCTGGCCTCGGCCGCTGAGCTCCCAGGGCTGCCCTTGCTTTTCTACTTTGGAAGGGAGCGGGGACGCGGGTTCCATCCCTGCCCAATACTCACCGTGAGGCCGGGGTCTCCAGGGGGGCCGGGCTCTCCCTGGAGGAGGAAGGGTGACGCTGAGAAGTGGCCTGTGTCTGCGCTGGGCAGCCCCCGCCCCCCCGGCACTGACCCCGCCGTCCCTCTGCCGGCACGACCCTGAGGTTCAGCGTGGCCCTGGGCTAGACCAGAGGGCTGGAGGCACCAGCAGCGGACCTACCTCGGGTCCTGGGGATCCTCTCGGCCCCCGAGGGCCAGGCTCGCCAGGCGGACCAGGATCTGCCTGAGGAGCGAGAAGAGCAGGTGGGTGGCGGCCTCGACCCGGCGCCCTCCCCGTATACCCCGCGGCCCCCTACGCCCTCTGCCCTGGGTACTCACAGGCTCGCCCTTCTCGCCTTTCCTCCCGGGCGCTCCCTTGGCACCAAAGTCACCTCTGCCCCCCTGGGACACAGGACACTGGTCAGCCTGGGGCAGGGAGCTCGGCACGGCCCCCCACCCCCAGGCAAAACCTCTAGGGAGTCTGTCTGGGGCGGGCATGCTTCCGTCAGAAGAGCCTGCGCCAGGCGGCTGGGTGGGGTACGCAGTGGCGTTTGGGGGTACTCGGCAGGAGAGCGGCCAGCAGGCTCAGGGCTCAGCTCAGGAAGCTCTCTGGGGCCGAGGGTGGGTGAGGGACATGCAGGCCGCCCCGGTGGGTGCGGAGGCCTCTGCAGACATACCTCAGGGCCGGGTGGGCCAGGCTCGCCTTTCTCTCCCTGGGAAGCAAGCACAGGTCACCGTAACTCAGCGCAGAACCGGAAGGGCTGCCCTGGGGCGGGAGCTGGCTCTCCTGGGGACCCGAGATTTTTGGAAGCCCCTCCTGCCCCCTAGGGTGGTCTCAGTTTTCACAATCCGTATGAAGCCGTGAGCGCTGCAGGTGAACGCCACACCACCCGCCCGTGTCTGGGACAATTTCTGGGGCTCTGCACCCGATGAGTGACCCCAGGCCCACTCGCCCTCGCCCCATCCCCCAGGAGTGAGGCCCTCACAGGAACTAGTGAGAACCGTCAGGGCCTCCCAGGGACCCCCAACTCCTGCCAAGACTTACGGGTGTTCCTCGGGGTCCCGGGTAGCTGAATCCAGGCCTGCCGGGGTCCCCCTGCAGGGTGGGGAAACTGGTCAGGGAGGGTCCAGTGGGAAAGGAAGGGGCTAGGCTGGCATGCGCCGAGGACCAGGATGAGGACAGACGGGGCTGGGCTGCTGGTTGGGGGCTGCGTGTGCAGAGAACGGGAGGGGCTGCCCGGCCCCCGCGGATTCCCCGTGCCAAGGGAGCTGGGCCTGCCACGCTCCTGGCAGCCTTACCCGAGAACCGAGCAGGGGCTCAGGCCCCCGAGGCCGGTCTTGCCTAGAGGGGGAGGGAACGTACCTTGGGACCAGGCTGTCCTGACTCTCCACGGGGACCAGCGTCGCCGGGGTCTCCCCGAGATCCCTGAGGGCAGAGAGGACGCAGAGTCAGCACAGATGAGCACGGACCACTCCAAGCAACACTACCATTCTCCCCTGCTGTCCTCTGGGGACTGGGCTACCAGTGTTCGCCTCCTCTAGGTGCCCCGCCCTGGCTCCCCGGCCCCGCACCTTGCCTCCCCCTTGCGGCCCCTCCTGATGCGGCTGGACCCCTCAGGGCAGGATGACCATATGAGGTACACAGGGTGCTCCCCACCACCTCCTGCGCTGCTGCCCGAGTGTGTCATGGGAACCGTGTCCTGGGGATGGGAGACCCATGCAGCACTATGGGGGGGGCACGGTGAGACTGAAGGGCAGCAAGGGGCCTGGGCCCCAGGGCCACAGGACCCTCCTGGGTGTCCTGCTACCGACCTTCTTCCCAGGCTCTCCGAGAGCCCCCTGAGGGCCTCTGGGTCCAGGCAAGCCTCGGTCTCCCTGGAAAAAAGGAGAGCCCACTGTCAATCACTGGAAACTAGGCGGGAATGGGGGGTATCCCTGCTGGGCAGGGGAAGGGCCAGGGGTCCTCGGTAGCCTCCCTGCCCCGAGGACGAGTGGCCTCACTTACCTTGGCTCCTTTGTTGCCAACCTCTCCGGCCAGACCCCGGGGACCCTCAGGGCCAGGGTCTCCCTACGAGCAGAGAGGTGGAGTCAGTCTTGGGCAGGTGGAGGGGCAGGGGAGGGGAGGGGCTCATTTAACTCCCTGGAAAGGGTGACACCTATGTGGTCACCTGCACCAGGGAAGGGACTGCCATGCGTTTCCCGGAGGGGCAGCCCCTCCTTCAAGCCCTCGACCCGCATCTGGTGGGGGACTGTTGGCCCTCAGATTTACCACAGACAAAGCCATCCTGAGCCAGCTACTGTGAGGAGCTGCTGGGTGGAGCAGTGTGCAGCCTGCCCAGCAGTGCACGGCCCTCATGCAGGGAGCCATGCACAACCCTCATGGCCTTACCCTGCCCATGCTCCTCAGCAGGGAGTGTGGTTGGGGGTCACTGTCTGAGAACCTGCAGGGGGTGCTTCCACCCCCGGCAGTGGCCAGATACCAGGGGTCCTTTTTTTTTTCTTTTTTTAAGATTTTTATTTATTTGAGGGAGAGCAAGAGCGAGAGAGTACAAGCGGAGAAAGGGCAGACGGAGAAGCAGACTTCCCACTGAGCAAGGGCTCCATCCCAGGACCCTGGGATCAAGACCTGAGTGGAAGGTAGAAGCTTCACCGACGGAGCCACCCAGGCACCCCTGGGGGTCCCTTTTGTTTTCCGGGTGGGCCGCGGTGGGGACACTGTTGGTTGCCCCTCGTCCTAGGACCCTGTGGACACCACGGTGAGACCCCAGTGCAGAAGCAGCCGACGGCACCCCCCAGACACTCACCTTCTCCCCCTTGGGGCCGTTGCTGCCTGGGCTGCCCTTGGCTCCTGGGTCCCCTCTGCGCCCCTGCAGAGAACAGGTATGTGTGTGGGGGGACCTGATGGTGGGGCCACGTGGGGACCCCGTGCTCTGCTCTCCTCTCTCGGACACGGGCTTTGGGGGAGGGGCCTGGTCCTCTGTTGGGTAAGTTAAGTTGCCACCAAGGATTTAGGACGTGAGGGGCTCCCGGTCAGCGTGTGAGACGGGGTCAATTAAGGGTTTTAGTTGATGTGACCGGGGCCCTGCCTGGACCAGCAATCAGCATGGTCACTCCGTCCACTTCCAGGCCCCAGGGCTCAGGGTGTTTCCCCCTCGAGGGTCAGCCCTGCCATGGGGGGCCCACAGAGTGTGCGCCCGAGTCTGTGCTCAGCCCTCGGGGCATCCTGCTGGGACGGCGACTTGGGGGCATGAGGCCAGGCCCCAGGCAGGGGTGCAGCTGAGCCCGGGCCCAGCCAGCAGGGGTTCTGCCCTACCCGGAATGCTTCACTGGTGATGTCCAGAGCAGGGTGTGTGCGGGAGGGGTGAGGCAGGCGGGCCAGGCCCAGAGGGGACAGCCCACCCTGGCCATCCCACCCGCAGCCCTGGGCCCCGGGCACCGGTGGGGGCAGAGTGTGAACTCACAGGCTCGCCTTTGGGTCCTCGGGGCCCTGGTCCACCCTTGGCTCCTTTCACGCCAGGACTTCCCGGGGAACCGTTGTTGCCTTGGTAACCCTGGGGGGAGGAGCCACGTCAGCCCCACAAGGAAGTGCCCTTCGGAGTGTCCTCACCCCCAGCCCCGTTGCCCTGCCGCTGCATGGGACCGGGTCTGCCTCAGGGAGTGGGGGGTGCCCAGGTTCCCCAGCAGTGGAGGGTCTGGCCACATGCTCAGAGCGCAGGGCTGGCCAAGATGCCATTGTCCTTACTGCTCCCTCCCCGATCTGTGCTGGTGTGCACAGTTGGCATGTGGCTTGGGGTGGGGGAGTGGAGAGCAGCGACCAGCCAGGGGCACTTGCCTTGCTCCCTTTGGCCCCGTTGTCTCCTGGGGGTCCTCGGCGTCCCGGGCGGCCAGCATCTCCCTGGGAAATTTTGGAGAGATCAGCCTCCCATCCCTGAGACGCTGGCAACAGGGCAGGAGCCGGCTCCAAGGGGCTGGGCCCGCGTGGCTGCACGGGGAGCTCATAAGACCCGGGGCCCGTCCGTGGGGCTGCCTTCTTGGGAGGGGCTGTCGTCCTGCTCCTCCAGAGGCCTGGGCAGCCAGCAGGGTGGACGCGGAACAGCCACAGCGCCCGAGAGTTTGGCAGAGGGACCCCGCGAGGCCTGGGAGGATGGTGGTTTCATGGCTGGGGCCCCTTGGGCACCGCAGAGCTGCCTGGCTGGACACACGGTCCTGAGCTGGCCACACACTGGCATTTTTGGGCAAGGCACCCGCAGCCCCCGGGTGGGAGTGCCACCACCCCTCAGGCAGGGCGTCCCCAGGCCTCCTACTCCCGAGGGCCACTCTGCAGAGACGGGCCCTCTCTGCGTGGCTTCTTGGCCGGGCTGTCCCCCGCACTCCCCCAGAGGCCTGGCGCTGCCCTCGAAGGCCCATCACACCCGCAGCGTACCTTGATGCCCTGGTCCCCTTGCTCCCCAGGGCTGCCGGCTTCCCCTGCGTATCCGTCGGGGCCCTGCAAGACAGAGTGACAGGGCTGTCCCAGGCTGCTGCCTAGAGCTGTGCGGGGCTTTCCCGGGGCCCGATGAGCAGAAGCCCAGTGCACCGGGTGCTCTGCTGGGTCTGCGCTTCCAGAACCCACCGTCAGGACGCCCAGGAGCACCGCCCCAGCCCGCCCCAGAAGCCCCGAGAGTATTTCCTCATCCTGAGGCCACAGCTCTGGCTGAGCCCTGGGTGGGGATCAGGGACGGGCAGGAGAGAGGCTGCAGAAAGGGGCCACGCCAAGTGGCTCCCTGCTTCCTCACTGCAGCTCGAGGGGCTGGCCACCACCCTGCCCTGCCACCCCCTGCCAAGACCCTGCGTCTCCCGGAGCCCGAGCTGGCCTTACCCGACTCCCGGGGTCTCCCTTGCAGCCAGGAGGCCCGATGCGCCCCAGCTTGCCCTGGAGGAGAAGAGGGGAGCAGAAGGTGGGTCAGGGTCACGCACCAATGGGCGAATGTGCGGGGGCGGTCCCCTCTGTGTCATTCCCAGAGGGCACCCAGCTGTGTGTTCAGGGGCTGGACGGTATGGCAGCCTCTCTGCGGGTGGCAGGCCAGGTCCCTGGGATGTGGCTGGAGCATGAGCCCCCACCACCCCCCCCCAGGCTGGATCTGGGCTTCCAGAGCCCAGGCTGGAGACTCCCGAGAGCTGGTCCTCAGAAGCAAATGTCCACGCTGGCTCGTGCCATGTTCTTATCTGTCCTGTGTCCCTAGCTAGGTGCCAGTGGGGGCCGTCCAGCCACAGGCTGTGGGCAGTGGCCAGGGGCCCCAGGGGCCCCAGAGGCCCCAGGTAAGGACCCAAGGGTCTCGGGGAGGCTCTGCTCCCTCCTATGTCAGAAACGCTGCCTGCCGTGCCCCTGGCCCGGGGAGGGGCCCGAGATGCACTCTACCTTCTGTCCATCGGTCCCGTTCTTGCCGGCCAGGCCAGGAGCCCCCTGGAGGGAGAGGTGTGATCGTCAAGCCTTGGGGCGGCAGGAAGGTGGGGTGCCCCGCCCGCCGGCCCAGACAGCCTGCTCACCTTCCGCCCGTCGGCTCCAAATTCACCCTGTGCAGGAGGAAAGCGAGGCTGGTTAGCTTGGAGTCCCACAGACGCCACTGCCTCCGGGGGCCAGGTCTGCCTCAGACCAAGCAAGAGGCCAGAAGGACCCCAGAGAGGGCGCCCCTCCGTGACGCCAGATGCGGGGCCCCCATCGGGGCCATGATGTGCTGACAGATGCTGCTGGGCTCTGGGGCCACGTCACAGTCTCACCTTCTCTCCTTTGAAACCAGGAACACCCTGAGGTTGGAAGAAAGGAAGAGCGGCGTTACTGGGGATGTGTGCGCCCCAGATCGGGGGGGCAGGGGAGCCAGCGGCATTACTGGGGGTGCGTGTGCCCCAGATCGGGGGAGAGCAGGGGCAGCCAGTCCTGGCTCGGTTCAGGGACAACATTCAAGATACCGAGGGTCTTGGCTTGCCCTGGGGATGAAGGGGGTGGGGGGCCTGGAGACAACCTGACCCTGTGGGCTAGCCCCCACCCGGCCCAGACAGCCCTTGGCCGTCCCCCCGACCCCTAGTCACGGGGGCAGGGCTGGCAGCGACTTGCCTTGGGTCCTGGGAATCCAATGGGACCTTCGATGCCTGGGTCTCCCTGTGGAGGAAGAATAAAGAGCCACAGCTGAGCCCCAGTCCTGGGGACCTGGGGCCTAGGGGGCAGGGGTGTGGAGGACACTCACCTGTCGTCCCTTCTGCCCAGGCTCTCCTGGCTCGCCCATGTTGCCCTTGGCACCCTAAACGCAGATCATGGAGAAAGGGGTAAACTAAGGCAGGAAGCAGGTAGGTGGGCAGAGGCTTCTGAGCTGGTGTGTCCTGTTTTGTTTTGGGGGCTCCTTTGTGTCCCCTCAGATGTCATCGTGGGCGCCCCTTCCCTCATGGCAGGGCCACGGCTGTGAAGCTGCCTCCTCGGGGACCTCCATGCCTGGGCTGTGGCAGGTGGCAGTGTCACGGAGGACGGGGGCAGGGGAGCATCTAGCTGGGGACCTGGGGATGGGCATCTACACTCCTACTGGTCTAAACGGCTCCTTCCAGATTTAGAAGAGGGAAACGGAACTGCTTAGGGATAAGCTCATCTTCCCAGAGGTTCTCCCCTCCTCTGCCATCACGTGCGACCTCTGACCGAACTTCCGGGGTGTCTGACACCCCGGCAGTGAGCTCTGTAAGGAGTGGGAGCTCCGTGTGCTTTAACAGGACCCTGTTCCAGGTCTCCCGCCCCGGCGAGTTTCCCTACTTCACCAGAGCTACAACGGCAAAGCTAAGAATGAAAACGCATTCCTGCTTTTCTCAAAACGCCGTTTAAGAGGAAGGAGATAAAAACTGGTTTTAGGTCTCCCAGGGTCAGAAGGGTTGAGACCGTCCTGGGCGCATGTGGCCCCATGTTTGGAGCTGAAGAGAGGCGGGGGCCTCCTGGCAGCTGGGACCCCGAGGGTGGGCCGGGCGTCTTACCTTCTGTCCACGGTAGCCCTTGGGGCCGGGCGGCCCGGGGATCTCCAGACAGCTCACCTTGTAGCACTAAAACAAGAAGCAAGGGGTGTTGGGGAAGGCCGGTGGGGAGAGCCCCAGGTGGGGGGCCAGGGAGGGAGCTGGTGGGGGGCCGAGGACCCCTGGGCCATCGGCCGTCGGGAGCACGGGGCCGGATGGAGGAGCAGACTTGGGAGGCACCCAGGAGGCCCCAAACCCAAAGGCCCTCGGCCGATTCTGGGAGGACCAAGGGGTCTTGCTCCCTGGCCTCCTCCCGTTTGTCCCAGACCCCCGGGAGCAGCAGGGGGCTGGGGCAGTCATCATCTCTGCCAGGTCAGCGCCTCAGAGTCCCAGCGGGCAGCACCCGGCCGGGGCGGCAGGACCGGAAAACGCCTCTCACCTCTCCATAGGCTTCATGTTTCTGTGGAAAAGACAGAAAAAATTGCTACTTAGCCAGAGCCAGAGATTTGGGTGGGAATGGGGAGCTCACCCTCCCAGAGGGGTAAACTGAGGCCCAGAGCAGGGCACTGCCCAGTGAGGGAGCGGGTCTCAGGGCTCTGGCCTCCACCCCTGCTCCTGGTGCCCAGTGGGTGGGCGTGGCCGGGCAGCGCCTCACCATGACCTTGATGATGCGATTGATGGTGTCCTGGTCGATCTCCAGGTCGGGACGCACGGTGGCGTAGTTGTTGCGGTAGAGCTCAAGGGGCATGCTGGCCATCTCCCGCAGACCCTGCTCGTTCGGGATCTGGTCGGGGGCCACGGTGAAGATCCGGATGCCCTCCTCGCGAGCCCGCTCGGCCTGCAGCTTGACGCCCCCACACGGGCTGCCGGTGACGTAGCCGTCGGTGATGACCACCGCGAAGTGGACCCCACCCTTGGCCTTGAGTTGCCGGATCTCCTGGGTCATGTTGGCCAGCGCGCAGTCGGTGAAGGTGCCCTTCCGGATGGAGACGATGCTGTCCAGGCTCTTGGTGAAGGAGGCCCGGTCGCTGTCGGGCGGGCTGAACACCCTCACCACGTCGGAGAAGTGCAGGCCCCCGTAGCGCCAGCTCAGGGCCACCTGGTCCAGGTAGGTCTCGTCCTGCAGCTGGCTGACGAACTGCCGCACGAACTGCCTCATGTGGTACAGCAGGCTGTCGATGGGCGACTGCATGGTGACGCTCTCCGAGGTGTCCAGCACGAAGTACACGTTGATGGGGCAGTCGGCCTTCTCTGGGGGCACGGGGGCGTCACTGGCCTGCCCAGGGCGGGGGCCTGCGGCGCGAGCCCGTTGCCAGGCGTCGTGCACGTGGGGGATCCCAGGCTCCACCCCACGGCCCCCCCCTTCCTACCCAATACCTGGGCAGCTGTTTCTCTCAGAGAGGCCGGGGGCGGTGACCTCCTGCTGCTGGGCGTGGACGGCCCCCAGGAGTCCCCAGAGCAGGAGGGCAGAGCAGGGACCTCGGAGCATCCTGGCAGCACCCGCGCACCCTGACCTCCTGCAACGGGAGAAGCAGCCCACTGCCACCAGCGCCCAGTGCCCACGCGGGGTCCCGGACAGCTGGGGCAGCACACAGGTGGGGCAGAGGGCACATGGGCTTGGGTAGACGCCCTTCTCCCTCGCCCTAGGCAGCCCGCGCACACACACACACTCAGGGGACGCAGAGCCTTGATTCTGGTTGGGTCTCGGTCGGCACTGCCCGTCTCTGCCCTGGGGGGAGGCGGCTGGGGAAAAGCAGAGGCATGGGCGCACTTTGGTGCCATTTCCCCCGTGATGCCCCTTAATGCATTTTTGAGAGGAGGTGGATGGGTTTTGGCAGGCAGATTCAAGGTTCAATATCACTTGAGTTTCAGATTAGAGGAGCGAGTCCTGGCATTGTTAGAGGTGAAAAGGACATGGCCCTGCCTCCCCAGGATAGGACATGGTCAGGTTAAGAGGCCATGACCCTGCAGGTAGGGGTTGTGACCCAGCAAGGTGGTGACGGTTGCCCAGACAAATGCAAAGCCCAGTGGGTGTGCCAGGGAATCCGGGCAGGCTTCCTGCATGAGGTGATGGAGGCCCAGACTGAGGGGACTGGCCAGAGGAAGGGGAGCGCCTGGCTTGGGGAAGGTTCATTCAGGGAGGGCTGGGGAGGGGGGCTGAGGAGATGGTAGGGGAGCAAGTCAGGGGCCCCGAAGAACCTGGGAGCCAAGAGCAAGTCAGAAGGCAACAGTCAGAGCAAAGAGGTTCAGAGCCATCAACCACATGCGACAGCCAACATGGGGACCACAGGAGCTTGGCGGGGCAGGGTGGGGGGCCGGTCAGGACTGAGCACTAGGGTGTGGGTGCAGCTTTGTCCTCCACTGCCCATCACCTTGCTGCCCCCAGTGCGGAAGCCGTGAGTCCCATCCCGTCCTGTCTGCTGTGGGAGGGAGGGGTTGCCGAAGGCCAGGGAATCCATACCCCCCGGCACCACTCCCTGCACGTGTGCACACACCACACCAATCACACGTTTCACACCCACCCTCACACACACCGTCAAGTCGAGGAGGCCCCCATAATGAAGTGTATTGTTGAAAGACGCTGCTCTCAAATGAAATGAAGGATTCTGAAAATAATCTCCATGGGAGAAAAACACAACAGCAGCAACAAAGTTAAACAAAAAACAAAAAACACCTAAAGGGAAGAATCTTTTTGGTGTTGTCATGGGCAATCTCCGAGGTGGGCCCACTTCTTCCTGCTTCCTGGTGTCACCCTCTCACGAAATCCTCACACACTCAACTATCACCAGCCTGTATGACCAAAAGATCAGGTGATGGCGTGGCTTCCAAGACAAGGCCACAGAATACATCATGGGCGCTGTCTGGCCCTCTCTTGGGTCCTCACAGAGAGGAAGCTAACTGCTGTCGTGTGAAGGCCCTCAGGCTGTCTTTCAGAAGCCCAGGAGAGAGGGACCGAGGCCTCCAGCCACCAGCCAGGTGAGGGAGCCATCTCAGAAGCCCATCCTCAGCCCAGGCGAGACATCAGGTGAGCGGAGCCCTGGCCAATCCCCCTGACTGGGACGGCACCTCATCGGGGACCCTGAGCCAGAGCCACCAAGCCAAGCCATTCCTGACCCGAATCAATTATGACATTGTAAACGCTTATTGTTTTAAGTTACTAAGTTCTGAAGTAACTTATACATAGCAATAGATAACCAGTTCAGGCATCAGACTTCTCCTCCACAATATTGTACACAGAAAAACAAGGAGACAGTAACTGGAGAATTTTGAGGGGAGAATAAAATGACCCAAAGATGTCTGCCTTGTCAACGTAGCTTTCATGTTAAAGATAAAAATCTCAGATGTAAAAGGGCTCACCTACATACCATTCCCAAAAAATTCTGCAGCAAACAGAGAAATGAATAAAAGTAAGTAAGAAAGCAAAGAAACTTGAGAAATACAGTAAAATATAAAAAATGAAGAAAAAAGGAGTCAGAAAACTCAATATCACATGGATGAGTTGTGACAATATATGTGAACACTGTAGATTCTTCTGTTGAAGACAAATGTTCCCATGCACCCTGATGTTCATAGCAGCATTCGCTACAGTGGCCCAACAAGGGAAGCAGCCCGTGTGTCCACGGACTGATGAACGGATACGGAAGATGTGGGGTATATACAGTGGAATATTGCTCACCCAAATGAAGAATGACGTCTTGCTCTTTGCAATGACATGGATGGGGCTAGAGAATGTTATGCTGACTGAAATCAGTCAGTCAGACACAAATACCCTATGACCTCACTCAAATGCGGAATGTAAGAAATAAAAGGAAAAAAAAAGAAAAACCAAAAAACAGACTCTTACTATAGAGAAGACACCGATTGTTACCAGAGGGGAGGTGGGTGGGGAAAAGGGTACAGTAGGTCATGGGGCGTCAGGAGGGCCCTTGTGATGAGCACCAGGTGATGTAGGGAGTGTTGACACACTATATTGCACACCTGAAACTAATAAAGCACTGTATGTAACCACACAGGAGTCAACATTAAAAAATGGATAAAGAAGATGTGGTGTATATATGTATGTGTGTATGTGTGTCTACACACAACACACACACACACACACAGTGGTATATTACTCAGTCATAAAAAGGAATGGGATCTTGCCATTTGCAACAACACGAACCTAGAGAATATTATGCTAAAGACACGAGTCAGAGACATAGACCATGTGATTTCACTTGTACGTAGAATCTAAAAAACAAAACAAATGAACGAATAAACAAAAACAGATTCATCAATACAGAGAACAAACCAGTGGCTGCCAGGGAAGGTGGGAGTAGTAGAAGATGGTGATAGTAGATAAAGGGGATGAAGAGGTACAAGTTCCAGTGATAAAATAAATGAATCATGGGGATGAAAAGTACAGCAGGGGGAATGCAGTCAGTCATATTGTACTAGCATTGTGTGGGGACACATGGTGACGACACTTATGGTGGCGAGCACAGCTGAAGGTACAGAACTGTTGAATCACTATGCTGTATGCCTGAAATTAATATGTTATGTGTCAACTATACTGCAATAAAAAAAGAAGGAAAAAAAACATAAATATTCCTAAATTAGATCAAAAAGTGAAACCCATCTGCATGAGGTCCGTGAGAGTCACACTGGAGGTTGTCACAGACAGTGCAGAGAGAAGGAAGACAGGGTGAGACAGAGAGGACAGTGGTGGGACAGCGTGAGGGCCCATAAAAGGTGAGGTGGAAGGGCAAGAGATGGGGCCAAGGATAAGGTAAAGGCTGCTTAGGAGTCTAGTTACGAGTCTATATGTATTGGATGTCATAATAAGATATATAAAGCAAAAGTGAAAAATTGAAGAAAAAGCTGACAAACAGGAAGCATCAGAGGACTTTAACTCACCTTTGAAAGTTCCTGAGAGATCACATAAACAACAACAAAGAGGAATGTTCTGTTTTAGAAAACTTTGATAGTATGGAGTAGGGAATATGTATTTTCTAAACATTTGGATTTGGATAATGTGCATGGAACACATGCACACAACTGCCTAGCTATCATCTATATCTATCTTTGAAACCTGCAAGTAGGGAATGCATGAACATTTTACAAAATTCAGTTCCAGAGTAACCACAAAAGCAGGTTTAATTAATTTTTATAAAAATCAGAAATTTTACATGAAGTTTTCCAAACCACAATACAAAAGCAGTCACTGGTAAGACAGAAAAAAAAATCAAAACACCTGGAAATTTAAAAACTCTCTCGTTAAAACTACATAGGAATTAGTGACAACGAAGTTATACATAAAAACAAATATGAGAAGACCAAAGCTGTAATTAGAGGACAATATATAGCCTTAGATGCTTTATGTCATAGGATAGGAAATAAGTGTAACAAATTAGGCACATCATTGAAGAAGTTAGGGACAAAAATAAATTAACAACAACGAAACCCAGGAAAACAAGAGAAAGAAAATAATAAGAAATAAACCAGCTGATTAAAAAAAAACAACAACGGTAGCATTATAAATAAATAAATAAATAAATCCAAGAGCTGGTTCTTTGAAAGAGCCAATAAAGTAAAAAAACTTATCAAAGAGGGGGGCGCCTGGGTGGCTCAGTGGGTTAAAGCCTCTGCCTTCGGCTCCGGTTGTGATCCCAGGGTCCTGGGATCGAGCCCCACATCGGGCTCTCTGCTCTGCGGGAAGCCTGCTTCCTCCCCCCTCTCTCCCTGCCTGCCTCTCTGCCTACTTGTGATGTCTCTCTCTCTCTGTCAAATAAATAAAATCTTAAAAAAAAACTTATCAAAGAGGAAAATGATGAAGCCCAAATATAGTAACACAAATCTAGGAATGAGTAAAATAATATGACGCTATGTGAGGAAGGTTTTTAAAAGCATACCAAGTGCAGCCCTCAGCTAATGAACAGGAAAGACTGGGAAAGTTCTGGGAAAGTCTTGAGAAGGGGTGAGGACTGGCTGGGCTCTGCCTGGGAAGGATGGGAAACGCAGGCAGGGAATACACCCCAGAGCTCCGCCCACATGGATGTGGGAGAGTTCTTCTGCACCTTTGAGGACAAATACTTCTCTACTTTTTAGCCTGTTGCAAAACATAAAAAGATAAGCTTTTCAATTCATTAAACATGGAAAAACCTGAGACCAAAACTTGATAAAAGAAATCCCTAAAAGAAACTCTGCGGGCAATTCCCACTTTAGAATACAGTTGCCAACATCCCAACAGATGCTAGAAAATACAATCCAATAGCATATCCAGGACAACTAACCCAGAACTGGATGAAGTCAGCTTGGAAATACAATGATGATACAACCCTACAAAGTACATTAATGTCGGGCACATGAACATAAAAAGAAAATCATGTCACTGTTTTAATGGCACCTGAAACAACCATTGCTGATTGAGAAAAAAGAAAATAAGAAATTGAGGAGTTGAATTAGTGTTATAAAGCATATACGTTTCAGTCCACAACCAAGATCATATTTTATACAAAAACTAAAGTAGGGGGTCTTC